AGAAGGCCATCGGGTTTACAGATGCAGAGCAGCTGGAATCCTTGAAGGCCTTTGTTGAAGCAAGTATGCTATGCCTGTGTTCTTTTCCTCCTCAGCATTGTCCATCATGCTTAGTACATTTTGATTCAAGCTGGATATCTGATACCATATGCCATATACCGTATCTGTCTTTTACAGTGGTCAATGAAAACGTCAGTCTTGTCATCTCAAGACAGCTGCTCACTGATTTCTGCACACATCTGCCCAACCTGCCTGACGCCACAGCTAAAGCAGTGTATCACTTCACCTTGGAAAAGATTCAGCCGAGGGTCATCTCATTTGAGGAACAGGTAAATGCCCTCACACTCTCTCATAGCCCCGATCATTCAGTCTGTTACACTTCAGTATTTTTATTGAAATTGTTAACTATATGATCTTATACATCCTCAGGTAGCCTCAATCAGACAGCACTTAGCAACCATTTATGAAAAGGAGGGAGACTGGAGAAATGCTGCCCAGGTTTTAGTTGGTATTCCCTTGGAAACAGGACAGAAGTAAGTGAGCTACTGGCAGATTATTTTCCTGACTATTAATGTTTGTGATATTCCCAGGTCTTTAACTACCTTTTTATTCCCTCCTTTAGGCAATATAATGTCGACTATAAGTTGGATACGTACCTGAAAATTGCCCGTCTCTACTTAGAGGATGATGATCCGGTGCAGGCGGAGGCCTACATCAACAGAGCCTCTTTGCTTCAGAATGAGTCCTCTAATGAACAGCTGCAGATACACTATAAGGTACGCACTCCCTCAGTGATTTCACCGCCACAGGCTGCATCTGCGTTACTGTTACATGACAGAGTGCATAAATGAAACATTATAAGGACTGTAGTTGGTTAATCAGTGCTTCATGCTGTTTTCCTTGTCAGGTGTGCTACGCCAGAGTTCTAGACTTCAGGAGGAAGTTCATTGAAGCTGCACAAAGATACAACGAGCTGTCTTATAAGTCAATTGTCCACGAGAGTGAACGTCTGGAGGCACTGAAACACGCCCTGAATTGCACCATACTGGCCTCTGCAGGTACCGCCAAGACTGATGTGTTCAGGTTTGCATTCTTTAAGAAAATCTACACGATAAATTTTGTGTCTCATACCGTATATACTGTCTTTTTTCTCCCTTTAATTAGGCCAGCAGCGCTCCCGTATGTTGGCCACCCTCTTTAAGGACGAGCGCTGTCAGCAGCTGGCAGCCTATGGTATTCTGGAGAAGATGTACCTGGACCGTATCATCAGAGGAAACCAGCTGCAGGAGTTTGCTGCCATGCTGATGCCTCACCAGAAAGCCACCACAGCAGATGGTGAGTGGAGATACTGAGCTGCTGAGTTGTTTGGTTGGTGATGGGGCAAAAGATTCCTGTTCCCACCGTCACTTCCTTAGCTGGTGATAGCTGATGTATTTGCTGGGTCGGTCATGTGAGCCTCACGTGCCATGCTGTGTGCTGTGTTCTGGTTTTATTGCAGCTATAATGATCCACAGATTAATCTTTTAGAAGTTAATTGCTTGTGTCAAGTTTTGCTTTGAGTGCTGATGACGCAGTGTGAAGTATGAAGTGTTAAGACAGTTATTTTGCATTGATTAAGATTGTTAAGCTGGTGAGTTTTACTGGGAGCAGACACATGTGACCCAAAGGACTTGTGTAAAACAAGACAAACAGTTGCACAACATTCTTGATCTTGATATTTTTGGGGCCAGTGGATGATGCTTGACAATCTTCTCCAGCCAGCCTACTCAAAGTGCAGTGATTGAAGCCAAGTGCAGCACTTGTTTTTCATCAGGATCCCACCGTTCTCCTGTGTTAGCATGTAGCCACCCTTAAGGTGCCGTCTGGGACGAAGCATCACTGGGCATGCTTGTGCTAAACCCACTTAGATCATCATGGGAATCAACAAGGTTGAAATAATTGTAATAAATCTAATAAATAAATCTCGCAGATTTAGTGTTTCTGAGGGCTACGTTAAAAGACATGACGGGTGGTTAGCGACTGTCTCTGCACCCTTCATACAATTTTTGAGGTCACGATTAGCCTGAAACATTTGCTCTACTAAAGATCAGCTGATTTTGACTGTTGATTGTTGACTGTGACACCTAATAAAAAGCCTAGAAGGCACAGTTTAGCGAAAATCTAAACCCTGTCCAAGCTGGATTTATGCTTGTAAGGGAGGTGGGATGATTTTAACATCACCTGTGCTGCTCTGTGATTCTGATTTCATCTGTAGCCAGTAAAAGTGTGCCGAATTAGCTGTTAGCAGTTCCTTAGCTGTTTGCAATATGCCAATGGATGTACGGACAACTATCACTGGAATACTTTGATGCTGAGGAGAACTTAAAAACCTGATGATACTAACGCAAGTTATAAAACATCTTTTTCTATGACTTATACGTGGATTTATGGACATTTCATTCATGATGGACATCAGTCAGTATCAACATATATGTTTCAATCTGACCCTCAGTCCGTGAGGTTTGCAACAAAAGCTTGAATGTAATTTAAGTTGTGTGTTTACCTCTCGCAGGCTCCAGCATCCTTGACAGAGCTGTGATCGAACACAACCTCCTGTCTGCTAGCAAACTCTACAACAACATCACTTTTGAAGAACTAGGAGCTCTGTTGGAAATCCCCCCAGCAAAGGTGACACATCCATTAGATAAATATTTTCCACGTTTTCAGTTTGACCTTTCCTGCAAATAGTCTCAATAAAACAACTTCACTGTATCGTAAATTAAATATTAATATTGGCTCTAAATATTTAGACAGTTAGCTCACACAATTCACAGTTTAAAAATGTTTAGTTTCCAGGAACATTACTGGAGGTCGACCAGCTGTTTATCTCTTTGCAGATGTTGTCCTTTAAATTGTTTTAAAGTCTGTTCTCAGTCTGGCCTTTTTTCCCCCTCCGCTTTAGTGTGGAGCACAGAATTGTTAAACCACTTCAAGGCCCATTTGTTTCTGCACATTAACGTTATCAAACGTTACATATTTGTTTATGATGCATTTAAACATTCCTTGCAGAAGATTTGGAATAATAAAACATACAGTGAAATTATCCACTTACACAAACCTTGTTTCCATTTTGTCTGTTGAGTTTTTTGTTTCTTTGTTTGTCTTTAGGCTGAGAAAATCGCTTCCCAGATGATCACTGAAGGACGCATGAATGGCTTCATCGACCAGATAGACGGCATTGTACACTTTGAGAGTGAGTTGATGGCCAGTTAGTTGTTGTGAACCTAGCGTTGTTGTTCTGCTGTTAAGCTAGCAGCGGAGGCAGCGACAGAGCCGAATCTATGCCTCTGACATTTTATTAACTAGCCTGTGGAATAACCGCAGGTACCAGCCCTGGTACCTTTCAAATTAAACTCACACATGGTCCAGCCATATAGGTTTGGATTTATTTTGACAAAGTGCGGCTCCTAATAGAGTTTCACGTTTTTGTTTTTCTGCGACTGAGCGATGAAATCTTGCAGACTAATGACCTTCCTGGTCGACTATTAGGGGTCAGCCCTAATATGCATCATGATCATGAGTCTTGTCCTACATGTTCCTACATTTACGTGAGTGTTAGAACAGGGCCATGTTGATGGGTAATTTTATTTATGTATTCACAGAGATGTGTGAAGAATGTTTTTGGACCTAATGTTTTCATTTGATCATTTAAACTTATATCACATGTAATTTATAAATGTGATATTTGAGTCTATAAACTAACTATCTATCTGAGGCCAGTAGAGGGCAGCCTCTTCAAACAGGAAGGAAACTTCATAAAGCACCTTCCCTTCATTTGGAAAGAGGCAGTGCTTTGATAGAGCAGTCATTTGTTGTCCACATGTCATGAAATGGAAATATGTTTGACACCCTTGTTCCTCTCCTTTATCTCCGACAGCCCGTGAAGCCCTTCCCACCTGGGACAAACAGATCCAGTCTCTGTGTTTCCAAGTCAACAACCTCTTAGAAAAAATCCGTTCAGCTGCTCCGGAGTGGGCCGCACAGGCTATGGAAACCCAGATGACCCAGTAAACATCCTCCAAACTGCCCCCTCCTCAGCCTGTCCTAAACAACATCACCACTTCAGCACCAGTCACGGAAGCGCTCGTGGAGAAACCCCCGGTATCACCATCACATGTTTGAATTTTCAAAGAACACTGTTTCAGTACTTCCAGCCACAAGGAAAACAGCTCAGTGTTTCTCAGTATTTCAGATCTGTGTCAATGTTTTCACAGGAGGATCAACGATGTAACGTTTAGGTGTGTCTCCATATTATTTACTCGGCATGTTAAAAATTTGGATGTGATTATTCAGATAGTTGACATGTAACAGGCTCAAAAAGACTGGTGTGTTGAAGCTTTTCGCTCCAACACATTCTCCTGTTATTCACATTATGACACAGCAACATCTGTCAGCTGGTTCTTGATTTATGGCGTCATGTAAAACCCTCTCGGTCCACACTTATGAAATTTTGAATTAAATTTAAAGCGGAGAGAAATTGTTCAACATCATGGGTCGATTCATTAAAGTTTGTTTTCTACTTCAGTACAACAAAGTCATGAAATGCACTTCATAAATTTGTTTTCTGGAAGCTTTTTCAGTGAGATCCTCTCATAAGCCGGGTTCAGACTACAGGAGTTTTGTTCTGATTTTTCCCTGAGTCACCCCTCTGGACAACTGGGGTAGAAATCCTGATGTTCAACCCAGATTATCTGGAATATGAGAGGATTACAGAGCCAGAATTAAACCTCCAGAGCTGCTCGCAGACTCGCAGAATAATTGCAAACAGGATTTGAAATCTGGTTTCACGACAGTTATGATTACCTCAGTGCGAATATTATAATCTGGACGGAAGTAGTGGACAGACATTGCTATGACGGTAGCATGGCTGATAAAGGAAATGGTCTCACAGCACCAAACAGGAAATAAAACTAACAGTAGTTTTACTCAACCAGCAAGGGACAACTCTGGGAAAAAAAAGGGACGATCTCCACTCATTCATTTTTATTAAAAGAACACCTTAAAACATGACAAACATTTAATATCCAGATCAGAAGTTCAGCAGGATCCATTTGATATTAAGATCCCATTTTATAGCTGTAAAGTGTACCTCTAATTAAGATTAAACCAAAAAGGAAAAAGCAGCAATCATCTCTACATCCTGTAAACTGCTGAGGACACAGATAAACTTCATTTTATAACCTCTGCAGTAAATCATGACGCTGGTCTTCATTCTCGGGGCGTGTCCCAGCTGACTAATGTTTGACTGACTGGAAGAGATGAATGCCATTTCCCTCAAAAGAATCACAAGGGAAGTCGATTTACAACAGCATTTACAGCGGCCAAAGCTATCTTTATCTTCTTTATCAGAGAGGATGGGCTGTATCTACAAATGCTTCAGTGAGCACAGAAATCCAGCAGACTGCCTGGTGACGAGGCGCCATCTAGGAGACATAAAACAGATGTGATTTCCCATCATTTCAACAGCTCTGTAAAGATAACATGACAAATCATGACGTGGTGTAGGTGAGGTATTTGTGAATGAAGACGCGTACCCGCTCAGAAAACGCCTTGCTCCTTCCTGCGGTCGATGTCTCTCTTCAGTTGGCAGATGGCGCAGCACGGACAGCACATGTACGCCATGTAGTCGTTGCACAGTGACCCCTGGGAACACAAGGATGACTTATGTTGTGATGCAGGTAGACGACTAACCATGGGAATTTGAATTTTGTTTTCCAGGAGGAAGGTGAACCAGTGCACAGGGCTGTAAATACACACGCTACACACAGATCAGCCACATTAAAACCACTGACAGGTGAAGTGAATAACAATGATCATATTGTTACAGTGCAGTGTTCTGCTGGGCAACCTTTGGTCCCAGCAGCCATTTGGATACCACTTTACAAGCACCACCCACGCAAACACTGCAGCAGACGTAAGCCCTGTCATGGAAAAGGCGCTCCCTCCAGCAGGACAATGCACCGTGCCACACCATAAAAACTCTTCAGGGACAACCTGAGGAGCGCGTCAAAGAGGTAAAGCAGGAGTTGGCAACCTGCGGCTCTTTGGCCTCTCTCCAGTGCCTCCATGTGACTTCACAAGATTAAGTGGAAAAGAATAACGGTATTTTTTAAGATTTTAGTTTTCATTCATCCCTGTTGTAGGCTGAAAGTGATCCTTAAATTCCCCAATTGTAAAAATGTAGCCTATGTTTAGACTGACTCACTCATTAATTGTACGGCTCAGTGTATGGTTAGTTTTGCGTGCTGCAAGGTCACGTGAATAAGACAATTGTAGTCACTACTGACGGTAGCATGACTGTTTAAAAATGTCAAGTCTGTGTCGTGCAAGTGATGATTCTCTCTGACAAATCAGTGGTCTGTATTGTTCAACTCCACCTTTTATTATTTGTTCAGCTCGCTTTGAACCTCAACCAAGGAGGTACCAAAAAAGGAAAACTTTTGCCAACAGAAAACCAAGAAAGAGTCCAGATGAGGGAGCCGTGCTGTACCATGCAGTGGAAATGAAGTATTTATGACTTACGAAAAACAGCTGGGCTCCCTGTCACATTTCCACCAGAAGAGTTACTCGACCTTATTTGAATAATACGGCTGAATCACCAACCAAACAACCAACAACAACTAAAAATGATCCAGTGTTTCACATAAAAGCAAAGATTAGAGTAAAACCCCCCCAAACAAATATCAGAACTTTGCTTTTCATCTTCTTTCCTCTCCCATTCATCTCATCATGACCCTTCAGATTTATTTGTGTCCCTTTGGAGGAGGCCGACACTGTGGTGGAGGAAGTGCCTGAGAGCCATACTTGAGTAAAAGTACAGATATCTTACCAGAAAATGACTTTGGTAGAAGTTAAAGTTGCCCGTACGAATATTAATCAAGTAAAAGTCTTAAAGTATCTGATATTCACTGTAATTAAATATCAAAAGTAGTTTTATAATATTAAATCTAATGAAGTATTGAAAGTAAATGCTGTTATTAAAACAGCAAGTGATCAGAACCACCTTAAAATGGAGCATACGATACACTTTTATCGCAGCTTAAAGGATTTAAAGAACAAAATCCAGTTTTTAATTCCCTCCTATTCCTTCATTCATCCGGCCGTCTCTTATTCCCTTACTTTCCTATTTTGTAGTAAGTAACGAAGATGCTTAGGAAATGTAGTGGGGTAAAAGTGAAAGTTGACAAAAAATAAAAACAAGCAAAGTACATATACTCTCAAAAAATACTTAAGTACTCTAATGATGTATTATTACACATTACACCAGCTATGTCCAAACTCTGGCACGGGGGCCAATCGTGGCCCATGGAACAGTTTTAACTGGCCCGTGATTTGTCTTTATGTACTACATGTGGTCCACCACTCAGATTGGTAAATTAAGGAAGTTCACTCTGCGTCTTTTCAATTTATAAAGCCCAATATTACGAGTCACAGTTTGCCTCAGAGGCTTTACAACATATGACACCCCCCCCCCCAAAAAAAAAAAAACCTACAACAGTTTAAACAATGGTCGGAGCAACTGAGGGGAGATCGCTCTCTCAGGACGGACAGACGTGCAATAGATGGCACAAGACTGTCACACAGTTTGTGGACATGCAGCAAGTCGGAACTACGCAGATGCAAATACTGCATTTTCATAAACAGACAGTAAACATGCAAACCAATGCAAACATGTCCTGCTGGGTCAACAATCAAAAGAGCCATTTTTGGCTACATAAGCTCTCGAATAATCTGCCTGGAGCTGCAAAACGTGTGAGCCTTATAATGGAGGTAACAGTGAGTCTGAATTCACCTGTTAACATTACTAACAGGTCTAAATGAGCATTTATCGATATGTTTTACCACCAGGTGTCAGTCTGCAGTGGGCTGTTTATGATTATTTGATTCTTAAACTTTGAAAGGTTGGCGGAAGGAGCAAACACATATGTCCACGCACTGTTTAATTCTCTGTCGTCCTCAAGACTTTTTTTAAGATCAGGAATCAAATGCTAGCTTAAGGAGGGAGATCCAAGACAAGCCATCGCTACTGAGGTACATCAAAATTTAAAGGAAAAGGCGACAGGCTGTGTGACGCAGGTTTAGTTTATTAAATGTAAAAAAATAATAATAATTTATTCAGTGTAAAGGCTGCACTCTTTTACAGCTGCGAATGTAAGAATCCCTCAAGGCCTACAACAGTCAAAAACGCAAAATTGAAATGTCAAAAAATAGCTGTTATTAATTTCTATATAATTTTTTGCCAGAGCCACAGGGAGCCACAGGGAGCCACAGGGAGCCACAGGGAGCCAGTGGAGAGGGGCGAAAGAGCCGTGTGTGGCTCCAGGGCCTCAGGTGCTGACCCCTATCCTATGTAGCAGACGTGGCCGTGCCACAGTGAAGAAGTCAAAAGCAAGGGCCTCCACTTTTTTATGCATTTTTTTTAAAAATAATTCATATAATCCGAGACGCAGCTGATCCCCAGGTATTCAGAAAAGTTTGGACACCACAGCCTCATTGTACGTAAATACTCCACCCTGAGCAGCTACAACCATAAAATGCTGCTCTCAAAGAGGCCACGTTCAGTGTCTGCAGGTCCCTAAAATGACTTAAATTCAGTTTTATAAATATAATAATACATTTTATTTATATAAATATATATAATTTAAATATTAGGCTAGAATTAGAATTAAATATTATAAATATCAGGCCTCAAAAGTCATTTAAAAATCTTAAATTTGAATTTGTGAGGTCTTAATTTCCACTAAAATATTATTGTAATCTGTCGTTTAATTTCTCTCTGTCTAAATGAGACGAGCTCTTCTGCGTCTCTGATGTTCCAAATCTTTAAACCCACCACCCGACCTCATACTGTCTTTTTAATTTATACTAAATGGGCTAAATGTAGATTAACTTATTTTAATAACCATATTCCTACAAAAAAAATCTACCTCTGTCTTAAATTAGGTAAAAAAAAAAATCCTGAAAATGTCTCTAAAAGCATTAAATGTAAGTGTCTGATACCCTGTTATACGTCTGGCACTTTGAGCACATAATGCCGAATACTTAGGTAATATTTTGAATGAAAGACTTTAACGTGTTTGTACTTTGTCATGTTGGTACTTTCACACAAGTAAAGCATCTGAGTGCTTCCTCCACAAACTGTCTGTCCCTGTCTAAGTGTTAAACCACAGCTAAAGGTCACACTGTCTCACTCAGTGTTCCCTGACAGTCATGTTTCTGTGTTCCCACATTGTCTGAATGAGTCCGACACTCAGCTCCATTTATCCACTGCAAACTCACTTTGATGTTGTATTTGGTCCTGTAGACGCTGCGCATCAGCACGGTCAGACCACACAGGCAGCACTCGTCCATGTCACTGGCGATGGTGCAGCCGAGGCACGGGAAGCACCACAGCCCGTAGCAGCCTGCATGAAGACAAATACTGCATCTACATCTTGCATGCAAGTGTGGCCTTAACTGTGTGCATATCTCAGATCAGATTTGTAAGGAAGGAGAGCTCACAGGTTCCACAGTCATCGCAGAAGTCGCACAGGCCGGTCTGGAAGTCAGAGGGTGGGTAGCCGCCTGGTTGGTTGGTCACAGCCATAATCAGGATCAATTATCTGTTGGATAAAAGGAGTTTGTCTGATGTTTGTTCTTGAGCCTGACTATGAGGAGCTTAACTTCCATATCTCCCCCAACAGAGATAACTTTACATTACAGCTCTTTTGAACATCAAACAGTGCAGACACAAGTTATCTGTTCCCCAGTGAGGCAGCCGTGAGGAGGTAAATCTTACCAGATGGATGCAGAGCTGAAGGACGGAGAGACGGACCAAAGAGGCTCCTGGATGACAGACTGACAGCGGAGGCAGCGTGAGTGTTTATAACCGATCAAAGCAGGTGACTAATGTGGGCACGGACTTTATCACCCTTTTATTGTACAGAGATATTCCCAGCAAACAGGTCACTGAACACACCGAGTCCACAATACTGCAATAAACCTGAACTGTATTACATTCTTCCCTCTTAACACATCATGTAGTTTCAGGGAACACACACAACACATATTATTGCTTAATTTTAGATGTTAATAAACTTCAGAGGCAAAATGTGGATTTAAATTAGAGATAAAAGTAGTTTTGGTTTAAAAAAAAAAAAGAAGAAGATTGAACTTCAAATTAAAGTCATAAAAACTGCACCTGAAATGATATTAATGTTGAGTTTTGAAGTATTTGTGCATCAAATTAATAACCTGATAAAGATTTTTAATGTGTTATATATGTATTTTATTATGTGTGAAGTGCCCTCCTGTGTAAACACTATCAGCAGCCAGATCAAAGGTCAGATAAGATTAATTACTGACAAGTTGAGAGCATTTTTATTTGTGTCAGCTGTTGTTCACCCTGAGACTCATTTAGGAAAAATATGCCGAGCGATTGTGAATGAAATAAATTAAAAATACACCTATTCTCTAGTATATTTTGGTGATTTAAAAAAAATAATAACTGAGTACATTAGTAAAGTAGTGAGGCTGCAAATTTAACTTTTATTTTCTATAATTAATTTATAAAAAATTAGAGGGGGCAGGACCGGAAATGTTCTTAACTTCTTCTCACCCCTTTGGAACATGAACAATATAATTTGAGTTGCTCGTTTGTTGCCGAGGATCCTGTTTGCTTTTGTTTTTATTGCTCAGAAATTATTTTGTGTTTGTATTGTTTCAACATGTTCAATAAATTGACAAAAAGTACTTTAAGTACAATTATAGGCATTGCAGTATTTTCTCCTTCTTCTCGTCTTCATGCTCGAGATATATATCATATTTTCACTCCACTACACAGCTGTTTGTGTTACTGATTTACTTTACCAGTACTGAGCACATACAATATGAGTTGCATCAGTTGTATATTAATAGCTAGAGATCACCTCCACATTGGCCGAATACAACATTAAAATGCGGTTAAACATTAACGCATCAGTAATTATTATCCATCAATATAATATATAACAGTCAGTGTAACACTGGAGGAGCAACCGAGCTTGCAGAGTAGATACTTTGCCTACTTTAATACTGTAAGTACAGTTTGCTAATAACACTGTAGAGGAGTTTTGGATGCAGGACTTCTTTCACCCAGCGGTATAATTTACAGCAGGGGGACACAAGGGAAGTGTCACCTGGACTTTACCAGGAGGAGGAATTGAAGCCCTCCACTTTAAGGAGTTCACTAAGTCAAAACACAACAACATGAGGAGGCACTGCTGCATGTTTAAGACTGGGAGAGGGACAAAGACAAAGATTTGTGTTTGTATTGTAATACCTATTCTGAACTTGTTAAAGCTTCCCCCTGACAAATGCCCCCCATGGTATAGTAACAATAAATGAATAAATTAAGTAATACTAAATGAAATAAACAAAAACAATTTAACAATTAAACAGTGAAATCTAGATTTAAATGAGCAAACCCACTCTGAAAACAACAATTAAAAAATAAATATTTATAAAAACTATTGACCAAAAAAACAAAACAAAAAAACAAAATGCTGAAATAACTCTGTTAACAATCTGATAGTGAAGCTTGCAGTGTCACAGTTTGAAATCTTGAGCTCCATAAGGTTAAATGGAGGAGGTAACCTTTTCTATTTACTTATACTTATATATATATATATATATATATGTATGTGTATGTGTATATATATATATATATATATGTATATACACAGTATATACACTGAACAAAAATATAAACGCAACACTTTTGTTTTTGCTCCCATTTTTCATGAGCTGAACTCAAAGATCTAAAAATTTTCTATACGCACAAAAGACCATTTCTCACAAATCTTGTTCACAAATCTGTCTAAATCTGTGTTAGTGAGCACTTCTCCTTTGCCGAGATAATCCATCCCACCTCACAGGTGTGGCATATCAAGATGCTGATTAGACAGCATGATTATTGCACAGGTGTGCCTTAGGCTGGCCACAATAAAAGGCCACTCTGAAATGTTCAGTTTTATCACACAGCACAATGCCACAGATGTCGCAAGTTTTGAGGGAGCGTGCAATTGGCATGCTGACTGCAGGAATGTCCACCAGAGCTGTTGCCCGTGAATTGAATGTTCATTTCTCTACCATAAGGCGTCTCCAAAGGCGTTTCAGACAATTTGGCAGTACATCCAACCGGCCTCACAACCGCAGACCACGTGTAACCGCACCAGCCCAGGACCTCCACAAACTGTCAGAAACTGTCTCAGGGAAGCTCATCTGCATGCTCGTCGTCCTCATCAGGGTCTCGACCTGACTGCATTTCGTTGTCGTAACCGACTTGAGTGGGCAAATGCTCACATTCGATGGCGTCTGGCACGTTGGAGAGGTGTTCTCTTCACGGATGAATCCTGGTTTTCACTGTTCAGGGCAGATGGCAGACAGCGTGTGTGGCGTCGTGTGGGTGAGCAGTTTGCTGATGTCAACGTTGTGGATCGAGTGGCCCATGGTGGCGGTGGGGTTATGGTATGGGCAGGCGTATGTTATGGACAACGAACACAGGTGCATTTTATTGATGGCATTTTGAATGCACAGAGATACCGTGACGAGATCCTGAGGCCCATTGTTGTGCCATTCATCCACGACCATCACCTCATGTTGCAGCATGATAATGCACGGCCCCATGTTGCAAGGATCTGTACACAATTCCTGGAAGCTGAAAACATCCCAGTTCTTGCATGGCCAGCATACTCACCGGACATGTCACCCATTGAGCATGTTTGGGATGCTCTGGATCGGCGTATACGACAGCGTGTTCCAGTTCCTGCCAATATCCAGCAACTTCGCACAGCCATTGAAGAGGAGTGGACCAACATTCCACAGGCCACAATCAACAACCTGATCAACTCTATGCGAAGGAGATGTGTTGCACTGCGTGAGGCAAATGGTGGTCACACCAGATACTGACTGGTTTTCTGACCCCCCCAGACCCCCCCAATAAAGCAAAACTGCACATTTCAGAGTGGCCTTTTATTGTGGCCAGCCTAAGGCACACCTGTGCAATAATTGCATTGACAACACCACCCTCTCTCCCTCCCCATTAATCCGCAACATTGGTATCCTGACTATGTCCCAGATACGAGTAAGATTTCAGAGGGAACATGAGAGCATGTGAGAGCATGTGCAAGACATATAACCAGTTTATTTTAGCATAGTTCTTTACATTTTAACATGGGAAAAAATGCATTTTGCTCCTTCTTAACTCATTCATTTCTTAATCACTGTGATGGCCTAAACTATGCCACCATCATATTTTACCATGGATGGATTACTGACTGGGCCTACTGGGCATAGACTCAGGGGCCCAAAGTGTCAGGGGGGCTCTCTGACCTTCACTTGTAAAATGCCAAATGTCAAATTAACATGTAATGAGTAGGAAGAGACTCAAAACCACTACAAAGAGACATTAAACAATAATGAAAATTCAAACAAATTTACCGAAAGGAGACACAAAACACAGAAAGATGAATAATAACTAGAAAGAGATACAAAATGATGGAATCCCCCTCATAAATGTACCAGAAAGAGAAACAAAGAGATGCAACACAATGAAAAACATACCCACAAAGAGAGAAAAGACCCTCAAAAAAATGCAGAACGACTACAAAGAAATGCGACACGATGGAAACACCCCCCATAAATGTACCTCTAAAGGAAACAAAACAACCACAAGGAAACACAAAATGACCACAAGGAGACAAAAACCCACAAAAAGATGCAAAATGATAACAAGAGACGCAAAACAACCACAACGAACGATTACAAAGAGACGCAACACCACCACAAAGTCTGTGTGTCTTGCTCCGGTGCAGGAGAGGTGGTGGGGCCCTTTGCATATCTCTACCCAGGGGCCTACTGTCTTATGATCCACCTGTGTATAAATGACCGTAAGCAAAATTAATTTTCATTTTAAAAACGGGTCTGTGTGAAATTTCTGCCTATGACAACTTTGGATTTAAAAGCCTCTGGTTTTGTAATTAATACATATTTTAATATTCATATTGTTTTGAGGCGGAGGGCAGATATCAGGGCAGATATTCAGCCAATTTGTGGCAATTAGGGTTTTATTCTGCACTTCTTCACTCATGGGGTGAGCCAATATATTGATCAGTTTCATCATTTTTTATCTGTATAATATATTTTTCATAAGACGTTCCATGTCATGAAGGGGAAAAATTATAAAAAACATAGTTGCGTTTTGTTAACCCTGGGTATCCCATGATCTAAAGCTCTTTCTTCCACTCCTGCTTCCAGCACTGAACAAAGGTGTTAGGTCACCTATTTTTACTGTGTGTACGGATCATTATAGGTTTTATCTCGAGTTATAAACATCTAGGTTGCACAGCTGACACACCTTGGCCTGATTCAAAGAGTATTACAAGTCAGTCTGAACTGAAATCACCTCTGAAAGAACAACATGTCAACTTACACGTGATTATGTGATTATACCAGGATGTTTTTCTTGTATAAATCATTTAAAAACACTCAACACTCCTTGTGCTTTTTAAATCCGTTGCCATGCTCCTTTCAGACACACGGTGGCGCTGCTTCCCACAGAGTAGCTGACACCTACTGGGGCTGTGTAGGAGAGCATGTAATGACAACCTGACTGTAATGACATAGGCTCCTACATAATGAGCAGCTGTAACTGAAGCTCAGGAATAGGCATGATTTCCAATTTCCTACAGACTAAAGATAGATGTGGGCTAAATTACACCAAAGCACACGGTGCTGCCATTAGCCTGCGCTCCTCGGCAGACCCCTGAAATACTTCCACTGCACAGAGAGCGTCCAATGCCTTAACATCGACCACTTAAACCTAAAAACTCATCGACAATTAATACGTGTATTCTTAAGAGGAGCATTTGTCTCATGTCAGGGTACGACAGGGTTAAATTAAAGACAAACTTTATCCTGACAGCAGTTTTCATTAGTTAAATTCAACGTTGGTGCCAAACAAGTGTCAGAATATGTTCTCTTTTTGCTGATATTGTTCCTTGTTGATGTTTGTGGTTGCTGGGTGATCATCTGCTGCTTGATATCACCATCGTCTGTGCAGAGTCATACCTGCAGAATAAAACTAGCACAGAGTATACTGCAGTTTACTCACGCACATAAAGTACTCAAGAACTTCATACTTCTACTGCACTACGACTAAAAGACAAATATTGTACTTTTTACCCCACTACATTTATCTGAAAGCTTTGCCTTCTTTTCAAATTAAGATTTCACTGTCAAAACCTGTTTTCAGTGGCGTAGGTGCAGATTTTTTTGGGGAACACCTCGTTATTTAGAACGTGTGCATTTGTCTCCTTCAGTAAAAACATCAAGGTAGCACTTTTGTCAAAATTACACCACAAACTAATACAGAAAAGCCACAGTTTGGTGCATAAAATTCACCAGAACGCAGTTTGATCCTCAAAGTTTCTCAGCAGACGACCCTCAAAGATTAAATGAAACTCATGCCATCGATCAGTTGCACAAATACGCTGCGTTATTATAGATAAGCTTCCGAAAGAAGTCAAAGTCGACCACCTACAGCTTTAAAGTGCCGCCTACAACATCATAATTATGTGACACTGATGGGGGCCATTCTGCATGATGAGTACTTTTACTTTTGATAAGTATAATTTGTTCACGGGTGGAAGAAGTGCTCAGGTCCTTTAGTTAGGAACGAGTATAAACACAGCAAAGCAAAACTACTGTTGTAGCTGCTCCAGGTGGAGTCAGTTTGAACAGTCAGGCACCACCAAGAGTGACAGCACTGCCTGTAGTTGAAGTTAAAACATTCATACGGGTATGAGCCAGCTTGTGGAGGAAGCACTCGGATCTTTTACTTATGTAAAATTACCAATATGACATCATATGAACACGGCATTGCAAGAAAAGCACCCTATTCAAAGTCATACTCGAGTACAAGTACTGAGCATTATGAAGTTAAATATAAGAAGTATAAAAGACTGACAGAACTACTTTATGTACAGTTAGCTAGTTTAGTCCTGTGGCTCCCAACCTGGGGGTCGGGCCCCTCCAAAGGGTCACCAGATAAATCTGACAGGCTGACGCGTGATTAGTGCAAGAGAAGAAGAAAAGTTCCGATGCACAAATTTGTGTTTGTTTTTTTGTACTTTTCTCCAATCTTCGCTCTTCTAGACACACACACAACTGAAATTTGATAAAAGGCCCCAACTGTGCGGCGCCCAGAAGCCATGTGCAAAGGCCCTCTCCTTGCCGCAGTATTCACAGGTTCGAATCCAACCTACAGCCCCTTGCTGCGTGCCCCCATCCCAAAAAACCGTCACATTACTTAGAGACGATAAAGGCAAAAGAAAGTAAGTTCATGTTCTCAAGAACTGTACTTCAATGTAAAGATACTTGTGCTTAACTTTGGAATTTTATGCGACTTAATACTTCTACTTCACCACATCTCAGAGGGAATATTGTATGTTTTCACCACACTACATTATTTCTGACAGTCATAGTTACCACAAATTTAGATTTTACATCAAAAACACATGATGATCTCATAGAATATGATGCATTGTTTTAGGCAAACTATCAAACAGTATATATTACATTTACAGTTAGCGCCAACTTGACCAAATAAAACAGTAAAAAAATGGCTGAAAGACTGAACTTTGTATTAAAAAATACATAGCGGCATAGCATCGAGTGATTGACTGATTATGCTGCTGGAGAACCAACGCACACTGTTGTCTTTCCCCAAAGAAGAAAATCAGGGTTCTAAGAAAGAAAAGAAAGAAAGAAAGCAAACTCACATTGCGACAAAACATTTCAAACGATGCGTGAGAGAGATGTGGATCGTGGGAGGAAGGGCGGGGGCCTTTAAATCTGTTGCTACACCCCTGTGAATGCATCAGTAACATTAATCTAATCACATAATTGTGGAACATTCAGGGGGCAGTTTTCTGCTCTGAGTATTTTACTGGTGATATTTTTAAAGCAAGATAAGGCAAGTTTATTTATATGGCACGTTTCAGACAAGGCAACAAACAAGGCAACTCTGAGTGCCTTATGTAAAATATATAAAAGCAAAAGAAACACATTGTTCGGCCAATAAGGAGCTGGAGAATTGAAAATGAAATTAAAGTGTGAGAAATTAATAAGTATTTTAATTTTAAGAATATTTCTCTCATAATACTTATGTACTGTTGCATTTTGAATACAAAACTTTTGCTTGTGAAGAAGACATCTTTACATTTTATTTTACTGAAGTAAAAGCAAAAGTCAAAATGGCCGGGATCCACTGGTTTATTACTCTTCAACAATGTGTTGTATGTTATAAACTCATCATATTTCCTTTTATGTAAAATCTTAATCTGCAAAACAACTACAGCTGTTAGATAAATGTAGTGGAGTAAAAAGTACAATATTTACACCTGAAATGTAGTACAGTCGAAGTAAATGAAAATACCTCAACTTTGTGCTTATATACACTACTTGAGTAAATGTACTTAGTTACTTCCCACTTTACTTCCACGTTGTTGCCAGTATTTCCAGTGGTGGCTCTTGCCATAGGCAACACAAACTTTTATTTTATTTCATTTTTTATTATTGACATTCAAAAAAATTTAACCGTAACAGAAAAGATGGAGTGGAGTGTTTGTGTAGAGCCTCAGAGTAAGAGAAAATAAAAAGGAAAAAGCCATTTGTGGCACAATACAAAGATAAAGAGACAGAGGAATTAGCAAATTTGCACACACCGTGTTCTCTTATTGTTTATTCATTAGGATTGTTTGTCAGCTAAGTCGTTTATTTGTGTTGATTTCTCATTAGCTCTTGTTACTAGCACTGACTACTTCAGTACTTTTAGGGACTGTTCTTTACTTGTCAGAGGAGATGGGCGGCTGGGGTGTGACTTTGTTTTCTTGTTTCTTTGTTGTTTTTTTCTTTAAACTAACCTCAAACTTACAAATATTTTTCCTCAAACCTTCCTGAGTGACTGGCAGAAAATGCGTGCCCCTCCCTCGACCATTAATTAGTTATTACATTTTTAAAACTTACCATTTGATGGTTCAAAGTAAAAAGTCAAAGATGAAATCCTGGAGTTGAAAAAGTTCAGTTTTTCACTTTTGTCGTGCACGCTGGTTAGTTTTGTTAGGTTTATTTTAAATTCTAAATGAGACATCGAATAAAGTGATTTTGATGAATTATCATTATTTTATTTATCATTTATTTTCTGGCCGTGATTAAAGGTGAAATTTTGGCAATTTTTATAGGAAAACATTCAGATTTGGAGGGCATGTTTTCTTTAAAAATCTGCAGTATATGGTCGCTCTGACATCCTTCTCAATCCTCCCAGGATTTTCCTACAACTATTTATCTATTTATTTTCCTTTTCTCATTGTTTTAAATAGAACGATACGTTTTATTCGTAAATTTTCTATACATGTACAATAAATCACCTCTAAGGGTATTTTTGATTTTTACTTGTAGAATATTTTTTATATTTCTTTACTTTTTATTACTGCCATGATTTTTTAAACTTTGCAAACCCTGATAAAAAGAGTTGAAACAAAAAACTGCAGTAAAATAAAAACAAACTACAACCATTTAAATTTGTATGCCCCTCCCCAAACAAAATAGATAATAATAAAAAAGATAAACATAATTCCCTCCCCAGTAATTAGAAAATTATTTGACATGCCCCCCTTCTTATAAATTTTTTAAAAAATTTATTCAAAAAAATTCTATAATTATTTATCTATTTATTTTCCTTTTTTCATTGTTATAAATAGAACAATAGGTTTTAATCGTAAATACTATATTTTACAAACTTGTGTCTTTTTCTATACATGTACAATAAATCACCTCTAAGGGTATTTTTGATTTTTGACTTTTTATATTTTTGGAGCTCTTTTTACTACTGCCAAGATTTGTTAAACTTTGGAAATGCAGATAAAAACAGATGGAAAAAATCTGTAGTAAATTAAAAACAAATTACAACCATTTAAATTTTTATGCCCCTCCCCAAGTAGATAAATAAAAATAAAAAACACAAGTCCCTCCCCCGTAATTACAAAATTATTTGACATACCTCACCCTTTTAAAAAAAAAGTAATAAAAAAATCTATAACTATTTATCTATTTATTTTTATTTTTTTATTGGTATAAATAGAACGATATGTTTTATTCGTAAATACTATATTTTGCAAACTTGTGTCTTGTGTCTATACATGTATGATAAATCACCTTTAAGGGTATTTTTGATTTTTGACTTCTTTTTTTTTATCTTCACTTCTTTACTACTGCCGTGAAATTTTAAACACTGAAAACCCCAATAAAAAGAGTTGAAAAAAAAATTTGTATGCCCCTCCCCAAACTTAATAGATAGATAGATAAATAAATAAATAAAAATAAAAACACAAGTCCCTCCCCTGCAATTATAGAATTATTTGACATGCCTCCCCCTGTATGCACCACCCCTCCCCCTCACTAGTAGCGAACAGTCCCTTATTGAAGTTAACTTTTAATGCAGTCATTTAGTCAACATTTATTGTTTTTACTAATTTAATTTGTCATTAAGTTTATTTCTTATAAAGCTACTTTAACACAAGTGACTGATCTTTGGTGTAACCCCTCCTCTGTGTGTATCAGAGGTCTTTTCTCCACAGAGCTGAACTTTTAGTGTTATTTCAGGGCAGCACTGATAGACATGCGCACAGCTGATGGAAGAGAGGCACATCTGCACTGACGTCACCCCCCTCACCCCTCACTCCCCCCCCCACCTGAAAAAGCTGCCAATTTGAAGCTGTGGACTGCCGGTCTCTGCAATGTAGTGAGGAGGAGCAGCTCCACAGCCAAACTTTTGCTGGTGTTTGCATGCACTGTGTTTTTTTGCTTCCACGCAGCGTGAGTGTGGCGGTGTCTCTCTCTGAGGTGGCGGGACAGACCTCTGCAACCTCAACTCACTTTTTAAGCCACCCTGAGCCACCACCAAGAACACAAAGTCTAGATTATAAAAGACGACAGATAGGCTGAAAATAGAGCCTTCAGCTGGAGGAGACCCAAGACTTTTTAAAAGCTGAATAACTGCTCTTTTTGTGTGAGTGTGTGTGAGTGTGTGTGTGTGAGTGTGTGTGTGTGTGTGTGTGTGTGTGTGTGTGTGTGTGTGACAGTGTGTGAAGGGGAGACTCTCTCTGCACTTTTAGAGGATGGCAGAGCCCAAAAGGAGATGAAAAGAGGAGAGCAGCAGAGGTTTGAGCTGCAGAAGCCTTTTGTCCTGAGCTCTGCCTGCACAGTTGGACCGGAGCTGACAATGAAGATGAGCACGGTAACTATCTGTTCACACTCCCAGTCTGCGGAGAGCACCCGCCGTATCTTTCCGGTAGTTTTGTCGGGAGCAGATTCGTGTGAGCATTTAAATCCTCTCAGGGAAGCGGACTGTGTTTACAAAGCAGACATTTAGTCAGGAACTGCTCATTTTATGCTCCCAGAGTTCACCGGGTTGTTTTGGAGGGGGTTATTTGCGCGGAAAATGTGCACATTAGGAAACATTTACGCACGGGATCTACATGTAAGTATCGCAGCGGCTACAGGTCTGCGCGCACCAAACTTCTTGACAACAACAGCAAAGCGATTCAAAGCGATGTCAGGTGGTTTATTTTGATTTGCAGACGCTCCTTGAGGCTCGTATTTGAGGTACCGGTGTAATGCACGCGGGCCGGCTGCCAACTGTCTGGGTCAGAGTGGCCAAGTAAGTAGCGCTGTCTGTCTGGAGTGCTGGAGCCTGAAGAAACACACACACACGCACACACACACACACACATAGACCCAAAAAGAAAATCCACATCTCCAAAAAGACTTGTCATCCATGTTTGGAGCCCGGTCACTTTGATTGGACATCAGCCTTCTCTCACCTGGACCCGCTGACGTCTGTTTATAGTAGTCGAGTTTGCACATGCTGCCGAGAAGCGCGTCAGTGAGTAAAACCACAATCTGCACGAATGATATCATGTCGACTCTGCAGCACCGTTGGCGCTCTGTTTTAAGATTTATGCATCCATTTAAATGCGGTTATTACGCTTCAGTTACACTCGTGTGAAGAGCATCAGTCATGAAACTGTCATTCCGGCAGAGGAGGAGTAAATTAATAAGCGTCTAACTCAAGTGTGCACAGAGTTACAGCCATGAAGTGAACTTTAATGCTGAGATATTTAACTCTGTAGTAGATTTTCATTCATTCACCACCTTCAGCTAATGCATGTTGTCATTAAAGCTGCAAGGACTGGTCAGTTTAATGAACTGTTGATCAACAGATGTCACTTTGCTGCAAAAATCCCATTTTTTTCTGGCTCCAGCTTCATAAATGTAAGAACAAGCTGCATTTTGTTGGTTTGTTTCACTGTAATTTGAACAGTTTTGGCCTTTAGACTGTGGGTCTGATAGAAGAAGCAATCTGAAGACTTCACTTTGGACTCTGGGAAATCATAACTGGCTTTTTTCCCAATATTTTGTGACATTTTGTTGATAAAATGATCAGTGGTTCAGGAGAAAATGATCTGCGGATTCATTATTCAATGCCAAAATCTAGAACTTTTTCTGGTCCCAGCTTCATAAATGTGAGGATGTGCTGCTTTTTGTTGGTTTGTATCATTTTAATTGAATATCTCTGGATTTAAGACTCCTTGTTGTAGAGATTTTAAGTTGCCACCTTGGCTCTGGTCGGCACTTTCCACTATTTTCTGATGTTTTATGGACCAAATGATGAACTATTTAATTAGCAGATGAATCAATGATGACATTTTTTATGAACAATGAATTTCTAGATGATATACTAATGTCAAAAAAGCCAGTTTTGATTTCCCAGAGTCCAAAGTGAAGTCTTCAAATTGCGTCTTTTATCCAACCCACAGTCCAAAACCTTAAAATGTTCATGTTAAAATTATTTAAACCAACAGCATGTCCTCCCATTTATGACGCTGGAACCAGTAAAAGTTTTGGATTTTTGCAGCAAAATGACAGAAGCGATTGATCAATTAATTATCTGTTTATTGCCAAATTGATAAATTGACCAGTCGTTGCAGCGTTAATGAAAATAGCCACTAGTTGAAGCTGGTAAATGGATGAAAATCTGTTGACATTCTGTTCATAAAATGATCAGTTGTTAAAGAGAAAAAAATCTGTGGCTTCATCGTTGATGGAAATTTTCATCATTGTTTCATCCACTAATTAATCAGTTGATCGTTTGGTTTATAAAATGTCAGAAAATTGTGGAAAAAGCCGACAAGAGAGCAATTTGGCAACTTCAAATTGCTCTTTTTTTGGTCCAATAAGTAGCCTCAAATCCAGAGATACTCAATTAAGATGAAATAAACCAACAACAAGCAGCATATCTTTACATTTGTTTCACTGGAAAACACGTTTGGCATTTTGACTCTAAAAATGACCAAGATGATTGATCAGTTCTTAGAATAGTTTGAGTAATCGGTCAGTTAATTGACTACTCACAACAGCTCAACAATCAGATTTTTGACCTCTGCTTGATTTCCTCCACAGGAATGCAGATGGATCGGTCAGGACAAGTTTCCAATATAGAGCTTCCTGTTTGGAGTTACACCTGAGAGTGACTGTGTCTGATGGATTATGGTGTTTTCTACCAGCTGCTGACATGAATCCAGAGGCCAGTGAGATGCGGAAGCGCTCGCCTTCAGGAGAAATCTAAGACCTGGATGAGCCCTCGAGCACGACCACGAGAACATTTCAGAGAAGGAGACAAACCATGGACTTGTTATGGTGTGGCATCGGACCGACCGTGTGCTTTTAACCCGTTTGTAGCGCCCTCTACCCTCCACCCCATGTCACACCTTGCCCTGAATTATGGAAATTTTGTGGAAGACGCTGACTTGGACACTGAGCCTGGTGGTGATGGCTGCTTCTGAATTTCAAAGCATCAACAGACTTTCATACAACTCTCAAGGTATGATTCAGACAAGTGGACAGGAAGATCTTAAAGGGACAGTTCACCCCAAAATCCAAGCTACACATTTCTCCTCGTACCTATTTATCAGTCTAGGTTGTTTTGGTGTGAGATGCAGAGTGTTGGAGATATCAGCCGTAGAGATGTCTGCCTTTTCTCCAATATAATGGAACTAGATGTCTCTCAGCTTGTGGTGCTCAAAGCACCAAAAAAGATACATTAGAAAAACTCAACATCAGTGTCTCTTTCCAGAAATCATGACCCGGTTACTCAAGATAATCCGCAGAACTTCTTGTGAGCAGTTTCATGTAGGAACTGTTTTCTCACTCCTGAACAACACCCACTAACCATATCATCGTGCAAAAGGCATCTACTGCTAGCTCACCTAGCACAACTGAGCTAACGCAACAGCTCAGCTAAGCAGGACGCCATTAATGCTATATCTCACACTGTTACGAGCACGAGCCTCGTGTCCATGAGTATATGCAAACTTACCTCTGCGTGGTTATATGGGTAGCGGGTGTAGTTCAATGGAAAAAGATCTGTTGATGATCTTGAGTAACCGGGTAAGGATTGCTGGAAAGAGACATTGGCCCCTTTTAAACTGTCTCTTAAGGCGGGAATTTCATGTCGTTATGCCGCTTCGCCATGCTGTATGAAAAGTACAACCATGGAAAGGGGGACAAAGTTGTCTGGTGTTAGGGACAGCATGGAAACAACGTCTAAAAGAGAGAGCTGGCAGGTCAGGATTGAGGTTTAACAAGTAGCTGATAGCAGTTAGCAGCTAACTCATAGAAGAAAAACACTGTCCGAAAATGTCTGCAAATTGGGAAAACAATGATGTCAGGGATCTCCTTACCTTACTGAGCAGACAACAAGATCTGCCCTGTATTACAGAGACAGTAAATGATGGTTATGACACGCTATGCTGTTCTTAGTGAGTACAAAGCGCTGCTTACGTGTATGTTTTATGTCACGCTAGTTGCCGACACTGTTCTTGTGTTACATATCATGCCTGTTTTGCTTCCACGATGCCAGCATGCTGTCTAAAAATCACACACTGGGGCGAAATAATGTCGCCAGTATTTGGTCCTGTGTAAAAAGGAAAAGACGGCATGCAGAAGGGACTTGGTAGCGTCGCTTTGGGGCGATCTCTGTTAAAAAAGGGCTATTGTTGTAAGGCATGACTCAAATTAAATCAGTTGTAAAACATGGACAAAATCATAGATAGAATGAACTGCCATAGAAACTGCCAAATTGCTGCAGCTAACGTTACACTTTTAATCAGAAATCTAGTAGAAAGAAAATAGTTCCTACATGAAACTGCTCACAACAAGGTCTGCGGATTATCTTGAGTAACCGGGTCATGATTTCCGGAAAGAGACAATGATGTAGAGTTTTTTAAAAGGATTTTTTGGTGCTTTGAGCACCACAAGCTGAGTGCTATCCAATTCCATTATACTGGAGAGAAGGCAGACATCTCCACGGCTCGTTATCGGCTTGAAACGGCTCGTCACTCACACCAAAACAATCGAGACTGATACATAGCACTACAGATATGCGGAAAAATATGTTTTTGATTTTGAGGTGAACTGTCTCTTTAACACTCCCATTGTATGATCGTTATCACATTCTCTTCTTCTCTTCTCTCTCCTGTAAAAGAGGAGTTCCTGTCCTACCTGCAGCACTACCAGCTGACTGTCCCGGTGCGGGTGGATGAGAGTGGGGAGTTCCTGAGCTACACTGTGAAGCACCACCGGCCGGGCCGACGGAGACGAGGGGCGGTGGACCCCATAATGGGACAGCTGCCTCCTGCGTTAGACCCGTACCCCCCAGAGTCCCGGCTGTTCTACAGACTGTCAGCCTACGGAAAGCACTTTCACTTAAACCTGACACTCAACCCCCACCTGGTGTCAAAACATTTCACAGTGGAGTACTGGGGCAAAGAGGGGCTTGAGTGGCGTCATAACATGGTAGATAACTGTCACTATGTTGGATTCTTGCAAAATCAGCACAGCACGACCCGAGTGGCACTCAGCAACTGTAAGGGCCTGGTGAGTACAAGCTGTGTTTTATTATCACACTCAGTAACCAGTTTAACTTGCCCTTTGAGCCGCAGAAAGTTCCCACCGCTCACCTTAAACAAACCCCAGCACTAATGCCAGATCTCTAATATATACCTAGCCTGCGCTGCTCTCATGTCAGCCAATCTTTCAGTCGCAGCGCCAAAGGATTAGACCAATTGTAGTTTGCTTAACAGAATCTTGGCTTCCTTCCACTTGGCACAGTGAGTCCGCAGGCAGCTTGGAGTGAGGTGATGCTCATGGAGTAAAACCATCTCAGCGATCTCTCAGGGCTTGTCTTCCCATTTGTGCATTAAATATCACGCTTTATCCTCAGATTTTTAAAATCCTCGGTAGTTGAGATCACATTTCTTTAGTTGATCTTTTTTGTGATCTGTTAAATAATGTGTCCAAATCACAGATATTACTCCGTGTGCTAAAAGACCAAAAACTGAGCAGCACTAACAAGGCATCTAATTATCCTGTCTAAGCTTTTAGTCCTCGGGCTTCTATCCACAGACTGTGTGACTGTCCAGCTTCTCTTTACTAATCAAGAAATTGGAAGACGTTTTAATAGCTGTTATCCCTCCTTGGTTCAGAATAACTCTAAAGAAGGAAAAATAAGCCCCGCTTCTTGTTGGCAAATGTAATCATGTGGAGAAAACATGTGGCCAAATGTGTTGGCAAGACCAATGCCGAGTATCATAAATTGAATTAGTGTTTGCCCTTTTTTCTAACAGCACCAAAAATGGACAAAACTGTGTCTGTACTTTAATATAATCAGCTGTCTGGACAGTTTGAGATCTTGACATCACACACTATTAAACCCTGAATCGAATGTGTTTCTGTGTGCCGGTGTGATGTGTGGTTAATTGCTTTCATTGTAGGTTTGGCAGAGCCAAGTTAGTCTTTTCTACAAACTCATTTTGAAGGATTTCTCTCTGTTTATGCTCCACAGGGGGTGTTGAAAGGTGGAGGGCAATCTTTTTAATGTTGGTCTTGATGTAATTGATTGTTAGGGGGGACTGCAGACTAAAACATGACCCCGTCAGGGAGAGGAGATTACATTAGGGAATATGTGAGTTATTTAAAGGCGCACTGCAAAGGGACAGTTTGCCTTAGAATCAAAAACACAAATTCTTGCTATTACTTGTAGTGCTATTTATTAGTCCAGATTGTTTTGGTGTGAGTTGCAGAGTGTTGGAGACATTGGCTGTAGAGATGTCTGCCTTCTCTCCAATGTAATGAAACTGGACGGCACTCAGCTTGTGTCGCTCAAAGTGCCAAAAAAATGCATTTTAATAAACTCAACATCAGTGTCTCTTTCCAGAAATCATTACTTGGTTACTCAAGATAATCCACAGACCTTGTTGTGAGCAGTTTCATATAGGAACTATTTTCTGTCTACTGAACTACACCTGCAAAATGAATCACCGCGCTGAATGAAGCGTGCATCTACTCATGGTCGAGAGGCTCGTGCTCGTGGCAGTGGGAGATGTAATCATCAATGGCGTCCTCCTCGGTTGAGCTGTAATGTTAGCTAGCTCAGTGGTGCTAGGTGAGCTAGCAGTAGATGCACACTTCCTTCTGCGATAGTGATTTGGTTAACCACGTCATGATTTCTGGAAAGAGACATTGCTATTGAGTCCCAAGCACAAGCTGAGTGCCATCTAGTTCCATTACATTGGAGAGAAGGCAGACATCTCTACGGCTGATATCTCCAACACTTGACAACTCACACCAACACAATGTAACCTGATAAGTAGTGTCATTTGATTTTGGGGTGAATTGTCCCTTTAAGGCTATCAAGTATTGTGCCTCCACAAGTTGGAAAGCTTGCAAGAGATGCATAAAAAGCAGGTCAGAATGAAAGCAACAAAGACTGAGGTAACCTGACTTTAAGAGCCAAATATTAAAACATGCTGGATCCTACATTTCCCATAGTGCAACTCAGAAGCATCTTTTGTCAGACTCCCTCTGCCGTGTGTTTCAAATTCCACATCCCCCGTTTTTAACACCAACTTTCTCTAAAATTGTAAAGTCTGATGTCAGATGATGTCATCAGGGTTATCTCAGCTAAAGTTCCTGGCTTCCGTCCCTCTGCACTGTGCTGATACGGCAGTTACCGCTGATATCGGGGCGACTTTGTTGAGAAAGTGTAACGCCCACCCTCTGGTTCCCACCGACGTCATTAGTTGTGGATATTTGGTTGAATTTAGGTTGTAAAGTGACAAAAATTGTCAGGACGAAGTCTAATGCTAATGTCAATTTCACATAGAATATCAACGACAGGTGACGTTTATGTTTTCTTGATTTAAAATTGTGTTGTTAGGTAACTGAAATCCAACATCTTCCAAATGTTTAACACCAATTGCCTTGATGTAGAGAAAAATGACGTAGTCGTGAGTTATGGAGAAAAAGCCCCAATGTCTGCAAATTGTCATAATGTTAACACCCACACAACATGAAATTGTAATGTTGATAGATTTTTAAAATATTGTCAACGTGATTTTCCTTCCAACCCAAATTTAGCTTCTGTCTGACGGAAGAGTTCAACGTCTCTCTAACGTTATATTGACATCACGTGCCAGCTGGGTGGTTAACACTGTTAGCTATGTCAGCACTGTTGCCATCGTTAGCATTCTTCGAACTGTTAGCACCTTTAGCTGCTAGCAGCTGGCTCTGCCACCTCAATCAGTACATTTACATGCACAGTTAAGTCAAGCTACGGTTATAGCTTGACTAGGACATTCAATTGGACTACTGTTCTTATCCCAGTATACAAGCACTGGAGGGGAATTGATTTATTGACCCAAGTATGTCCGACTCCGCTATGATAGATTTCAGCTTGTTAGTATTGGACCTTTTTCCTGTTGACCTATTACGTCACAGACCAAACAATTGATAAACAAGTTAGCTACAGTTAGCTAGCTGCTAACTGGTACCATGGTGGACAACTTTACAGCTCTGTACATTTGTACGTGCTGTGTGCTTTACTTTTTCTTTTTCTTCCTCCAATACGTATTTAATCCTGTTCGACCCCTGGGTCAGAGCTGGGGGCGGAAACTGTGGAGTGTGCTCAGTGTGTCTCGGCTAGTTTGGGTCCAACTGACATGTAGGAGTAATTTAGCTACCAATTGCATTACCTGGATGTGTGAGTCTGACTTTGAGAAATTCAATTTGGTCCTATGATTTCAGTCGGACTAACATGATTACATTTATTTTAGAAGTCAGATTTTAGTCGGACAAACACAATAAATCGATTTTCTCTGATGTCATGTAAACGTACTGACTGTTGAGGACTATATACAGATGATTCCAGGTCAGACTCTAAGTCATAGATATGCTCTGAGTGTTATATACAGATCCTTTAATACAATTAATGTATACAGTTAAGTTCGGTCACAAATACATTTAAGTTGATGTCAATATGTATGCATTCAGCAATGATGTTTGCTTGTGTTTGTAACCTGTGTCTTTCACTGATCTTCTCCCCCAACAAGCATGGTGTTATAACAACAGAGGAAGAACAGTATTTGATAGAGCCATTAAAGAACATATCCTCCACCACCTCCAGTGAATGGAACCTGGAAGAAGCACAGCAACATGTTATTTATAAAATGTCTGCCATTCCCTCACCACAAGAGCATAGCCAGGAGTTCAGCTGTGGCATTTCAGGTTGGTGAACCTCCATCTGGGTTGGACTCTGTGTGGGTGGAACTGACGTAAAGGAATAACTATACATAGCAGGTTAGAGGAAGTGCTGGTTTGGTTGTAGGCCCAGGTTCTGGTAGACATGACCGGGCCTCTTGTGTGCTATAGTTGCTCCTGGCCTGGACACCTTTCAACCTGTAAGAAAAAGTCTCGCTCCAGCTTTCATAAAAAGGCCCTTCAGTGCATAAGGAGTTCTTGGCTCTGACTTTTATAGAAGCACAAATCCTATTTATAGAACCAACAATCATGTTCAGATTTTAAGATTCAGGCAACTCCAACCAAATACTGTGTCTGCTGAGATATGACGAATTGGAAAAAGAACCAGGTGGATATTTAGGTATTTGGGCCAAGGTCTTATAAGAAACAGCAAAGGCTGTCATCGCCAGGAAGCTAGCATGCCCTAACATGTACCATCTTATAGCTTTTTCCCAGAGCATCTGGGTCATAAAGCAAAGGCTTTAGCTGCAAGGTTCAAAGGGGCAGATTCCCTCTGTGCATCTACCATACACAAACCAGCTCTGTCTCAAACAGATAATGCATCATCATTATGAAGCTGACTTAATTCACTGTAACCTGTCTTTGTCTCTCTGTCTTTGTTCACAGACCTCATAAAAAGCAGTGCACCTTGCCAGTTCAGCACACCTTCCCCTGTCCACTCGTCCCCTGCGCCCCAGAACGACAGCGAGCAGTCGAACAGCACCCACAGACAGAGGCGCTCCGTCAGCACGGAGCGCTTCGTGGAGACGCTGGTGGTGGCGGATAAAATGATGGTCGGTTACCACGGACGCAAAGACATTGAGCACTACATCTTGTCTGTGATGAATATTGTAAGTTTGATCCTACTTTTTGGTCACATTGTTGTTGTTGTGTCTACCACATTGTAGATAGGTATCCAGTGGTGGAATGTAACTAAGTACACTTACTCAAGTACTGTACTTAAAGGAGCACTTCACCCTCCACATGATTATTTGTATATCTATGACTCATCCAGTGTTACGTTGAAGTGGTGAGGAAAACTTTGTTTTTCTCTCAAGCTTCTACGGTGAACGAAGAATCCAAAAACAGGGAAAATTCCTGATGAATTGAAGTCATAGGGGTCCATGTTTGACAACAGCAAAATTACATCAAAACATCTGTTTATAAACTCTCACACATTTTGAGCAGTTGAATCCAAGTCTCATTTATCCAGTCATGTGCTTAGTACTTCACAAAAGACTCCAAAGCCAGACTCCATTGACAAAAACAGTAATTTTACCTCACTGAACACAGGAGCTGCTGGTCTACTGCTGCCTCAATCAGTTAGTTTGTGTTATTGTGTGACTTTGGTGTTTCAGAGGGTTAGTTCAGATTCACCAAAGTCACACAGTAACATACTGATTGAGGCAGTGGTAGACCAGCAGCTCCTGTGTTCAGTGAGGTAAAATTACTGTTTTTGTCAATGGAGTCTGGCTTTGAAGAGTTTCACTTTTAGTTCAGTTCCCTGTCGAAAAGAGCTGTCTGTTTGGGAAGTGCTGAGCATATGAGTGGATAAATGAGACCTGGATTATACTGCATGATTTGTTTGAGAGTATATAGCTTTGCTGTTAAGCTTGGACCCCCATGACTCCAATTCATCAAGAATTTTCTCAGTTTTTGGATTCTTCGTTTGCTGGAAGTAACATGGGGCGAATAATTTATAAAGTGGTCATTAAGGGGTTGAAGTGTTCCTTTAAGTACAAATTCAAGGTACTTGGACTCTACTTGAGTATCTTCATTCTGTGCCACTTTAGGAGGGAAATATTGTACTTTTTACGGCACTACATTTCTCTGACAGATTTAGTTACTTTTTAGATTACAGTTTTTCATCCCTTTCTGTCCAGTGAAAATCATGTATCTCCAGATGTGTTGATGTACAATGTTTATGATAAACTGAAGGATGATTTGTTCCTTTATAAATTGAGAAAATTCTCCCAACCTCTTAAGCTAAATAAACTTTAAAAACCCTATTGGATCAGCTGGTAATTGCATCGTCACAAAGCTAAAAACAGGACTGTTTTTTTGACTTTTTAAAGATTCGTGGTTCTCACAGGACAGCGATGCCACAAACATATGATGGTCTTATAGAATATGATGCATTGTTGTAGGGCTGGGCGATTAATCAAGTTTAATTTTCAATTACGAATATGGTTTCTAACAATAATGAAAACAAGATTAATTTATTGTTATTAGTTAAAACGATTATTATCATGCGTTTTATTTGCAATGATGCTCTCATTCTGCCTTGTGTAATAAATCCAGCGCACCCTTTTCCTACACATAGGTGCATTTAGTGTTGCCAACGTGGTGACTTTCTTGATGGAGTTAATGCCTTTTCAGACCCTCTAAAAAGCAACTAGTGACAAATTTAGCAACTTATTCAGACCATCATGGAAAAAGCGAGAAATATATGATACTAGAATTCATTTCCACGCTTGCTGCTCAGAGAAATCGCAGTCCACGGCTGTTCTGCCAGCAGCGCAGGGTTTCTCCCTCTTTTCTTAAGCTGTTTATAGTTATACATTCTTTATTGTATTTATTTATCAATTTTTTTTTTTACATGTATTTGTTTTTATTTCAAGGAAACCCACTGTTGTTTTGGTCAATATTGAAATCACGATTATTTAACAAGACTTGACATCTTGTTAAATAATCGTGATTTCAATATTGACCAAAATAATTGTGATCATGATTTTTTTCTATTGTCAAACAGCCCTAACCAACAGTATGGGTTAATGAAATGAGCACAACCCTAAAAACCTACAGCAGTAAAAGGCAACATTTACACCTTAATGCAGAAGGAATATTAATCCAAAAATAATAATACTTATACTTACGCACCTCTACTTATATATAGGATTTGAATACCTTTTCCACTACTGTAATAATGTGCTTAGTGTTTGAAGATTACATATTGCGCCATATGGACACAATTTGTCTGACTTTGTGTCTTTTCTTCTTTTCTGGAGGTCAGGTTGCCAAACTTTACCGTGATGCCAGTCTAGGAAATGTTGTGAACATTATTGTGACCCGGCTGATTGTTCTGACTGAAGATCAGGTAAGAAAAACTCCGTCTCTACTCCGACATCTTCTCTGTTCTACATATTTTTTTTTCATTAATTCCACTAACTGTGACTCATCCATGCAGCATTATCACATTTATTATTACCGTGAGCCTTTTTTATAGTGTCTGTACCTTCACCTGCAGCGAGTGTATAACTGATACGCCTGGCGTGAGGGAGCTGCAGTATTTTATGTGGTTGAAGCGGAGAGAGAAGAGAGACTATTCACCATATGGCCACCACTTTAGATGAAAGATGTTCTCAGGCATCTTCCCTCAGGGAGCCTCGATTGAGGGTTTTTACACGCACTGTACATGTGTATGTATGTGTGATGGGAGAAACAGAGTGCCGTCCTAGCATCTGTTTTTTTTTTTTTTTTCTAAAGAGGTCATAGCGGCTCTTTACGCAGCATCAGGTCCAGGTTTTCATGTAAAGTGGAGCCACATTATGAGCCAATAGGAAGGAAGTACGAGGCTATCAGAAAATACTGTTACAAAACAAACAACGTTTTATGGTGAAAGTGAGTCACTGATGGGCTGTTGAGTTGTTCGGTAATTAATCAGCTGAAGTCGGCACTGCATCATCGGCTGGCGATGCAATGGTTTCCTATAGTTGGACCCATTACGTTCATTGAAGCAGATGCATTTTGCAGACTCTGCTACAACTTCCTCAGCTCCTTCTTCTTCTCCTGCTTGTCTTCTTTCCACGTCGGCTGCTTTTTCTTATAATGCAAGTCCTTGTTGTGCTCCGTCTTTGACTCATCTGACTCCACCTGCTGTAAATGGCTTTACCTCGACTGCAACTGCATCTCGTCAAATCAAATACAAACTAATGGTCCTCTAACCTCAGTCTGAACTCGGTACAGTACGTACAGAAATGATTCATCCAGATGATGGTTCGTCATGGCGTTATGGTGGCTCGTGGGTTAGCACTTTTGATGAGTTCAGTGTGACATTTTCTTTGCCTGAATTGGACAGTACACAGTTGAGATCAAAAGGGAGATGAGAGATCATAGAGACAATGGGCTGTAATCGAACCAGGGAGGTTGTGGGGACGTTATAATGTGTGTCTACCCATGTGACGCACTGGTGTCACTTGCTTTGGTAACTTTAGCTTAGAAATGTGCTTCTTAATAAATATTCCATGTTTTTTTAATTAGTCCACACATATTTTCAATTGAAAGTGTCTTTTCTGCATGTCATACAATGTGATGAACATAGTTCAAAACAACATGATGCATTAAGACACAACTCAATCCGATATGACACAACATGATGCGACAGTACACAATCCGATATGAAACAACCAAGCTACAACCTCCGGAGCTGGAAAATGAAGCCAAGATGGAGGTGCCAATAACTGCAATTCCTCTCGTGGCCACTTGAGGCTGGCTCCAAGAGTGAGTCAGTCCCCAGCGACAAATGACCAACTTTACAGCAGAAATAAACATGTTTACAGCCTGGTACAAAAAAGGTTTTGGTCTCTGTAGCTAATTTCAACGTTCATGACAACTGTGCGGGGGGTGAATCTTTATATGACTCACCCGTTTACATTTTTTCTAAGGGTTAAAGTTTGCATAATTAAGGGCGTGGCCACTTAAGTGACGGACTGTTCTTAGCTTCTCAATCAGATTCACCCTCCTCTCCTCCACAGCTCCGGCCACTTCTGGCTTCAAAAATCCAACATGGCCACCGCCAAAATGCCGAACTCAAGGTGTCCACAAACCTAGGTCCATTATTTTTATACAGTCAATGAATACAACATGATATAATACAACAGTGCACAACCACAGACTATAAAATAATGGATGTAGCTACCGTGATGTCTGTCTTTTGTTTGTGAACTCCCAGTTTAAAGCCTTGAGTTTGGGACTTTGGCTGTCGCCATCTTGCATCTTGAAGTGACAGTATTTGGGCGAGAGGGTGAAGCTAACCCTCATGCTAACTTAAAGCTTGGTTAGCACAGTGCTAATGCCAATAAAACCATTAAAACAAAATGCACCCACTGGAAATACTGAACGTCCGACTCTGTATAGGGTCTATAGCTCAACCAAACGCTGAGCAAGACTTTTTTTAGACAACCAGAACGTAACAATTGTCTTTCATGACCTGAAAACACACTGAATTAGAGACAGCTACAGCTACGCCTATACTCTGTGAATCTGGAGTTAGGCCATGGCTATGTTACCTAACCAGTGTTCGCAGTAGTAGTGGCTTGTCAATGGACGGCACACGCCTGTCACTCACAGCAGCCACGCCCTTAATTATGGATACCTTTAAGCCTTGATAATATTTAAACAGGTAAGTAATATAATAATTCACCTCGTACGGTTGTCATGAATGTAGAAATTAGCTTTAGAGACCAAAACCGTTTCTTGTACCAGGCTACCATTGACTCACTTTTGGAGCCAGCCTCAAGTGGCCATTAGAGGAACTGCAGTTTTTGACACCTCTGCATTGGCTTCATTTTTCAGCCCCAGAGGTTTCCACTTAAACATGACGCAATATGTCATGATAAGGCAAGATATGATGCAACTGAGCACGTCACAATATGACGAAATACGCAACAACACCAATCAAAACTGTAACTGTAACAAGGTGTTTAGTTTTATAACACTGTTTCATGCCGCACTGCACTGGGTGTGTGTTCTGTTGTGTCTTGCAGCCTAACCTGGAGATCAACCACCACGCCGACAAGTCTCTGGACAGTTTCTGCAAGTGGCAGAAGTCCATCCTGTCTCATCACAGCGACGGCAACAGCATTCCTGAAAACGGGATGGCTCACCATGACAACGCCGTCCTAATCACCCGGTAAGTGTCAGCTCACATCTACAGGCGTGGACCACAGCTTTGCTCACACGCCACCATAATGACCCAGCATGGATTCACGTACTTCAAAGCGCTCCAGTCGTTATTTTCAGTTTAAGTAGCGCTTATTTTCTCATTTTGAGCAAATAGGTTGCAGGTTATTTTCTGTGCAGCCAGACTGTAGTTGTGTGTGTGTGTGTGTGTGTGTGTGTGTTTGTGAACAGAGGTGGCCAACAGCTTCAGAACTGAAACCTCCGAATGTCAAATGCTTGTGCTCAGACTTTACCTGCAAGTGTTAAAGCTGATGGGAATAAAGACCTCGGCACTGGAAATAGAATGTGCTGTTTCAGACGTACTGTACCTGTCACACTGCAATTTATGTCGAGGGTGTTACCATAAAACAGCAAAACTCTGTCATTACCTGGAATAGGCTTCATTGTTGCCAGAACTGTTTTGGCCACATAACCTAGCAACTAAAGTATATATATCCCCCCGCCCCCGACTGGTTTTGTCTGAGAGAGGATGGCGTCCTGTGATTGACATGGGCTAAAGCCAAACTTTTTGACGCTCTGGGCTCTGTATGAAACAGCCTTTCTATCATTAGTGTGCTCTTTGCTTGTTGTCTGTCAGTTGATGTTCTCCAGCTCTTTTGGCTCCTGGTTTTATTGGTGGTTTTAGCTTCACTAAGCACCAGCAACTAAAGGCTGCTAAGTAGAGTCTAGATACAAAAGGTCGTGGGGTTTATCCCTCACTCATTCTTGAGAAATGGGACAAAACCTTTCTTCTTTATGGATTTTGATTTTTACTCTTAAATTAGGCTGGGGAAATTTATTTTAAAAGATCAAAGTCTTGACTATTAATCCTTGTAATGGGCCAACCTCCTGCTGATTTAATCTCTTCTTTAATAGCATACAGAATAGATGTCAGAGGTAACATCTGACGGACTTGACAGAAAGTTACGTATTTATTAATTTCACAGCAGTCATAGCCTTTTTTTCATAGTTGCTCAGAGTTCTTTTAAGGTTAATCAAAATAGTCATTTTAAAACCATAATTCTTATTTAGTTTTGATTTTAAAGGGCTATGGAGTTGACCCATCACGGTTGAAACACGCCCAATAGCAATATATTTTAATGAATTTATCAGAAAATATAAAGCTTGCCAGAACGTGAGCAGCTTTCCAGCCTTTGTGGAGTTCTTGTGATACAGCTAACCCCTTTTATGTCTGATTAAATTCGGATTTTGTAGAAATCTGATGGAGTTGACAAAAATCTGGGCCAAAACTATATATTTTTAAAACAAAGATGAGTGTAGCAGTACATTTTAACACCAATGTTATCAGTACGTTCTATTAGTTTTAGATTTTGAAGGATTAAAATACAATTTTAATTGTCTGAAGCTGTGAATTCTTGTCTGGGGCAAAGTTGTTTTCTGGCACAGGGCAAGTTTAGAAGGTAAAAAAATGAAAGTAGATCAAAATATTTGATGAATTTAGTATTAATCCTTTAAAAATAATGTTTCGCCCCAAAAACGGAATTAGTGGGTGTTATAAGTTATAATTTTAGGGTTTATTTTTTGGTTAGGATATGATTTGTCCCAAATCTTAAGGAATCGTGCCTTGTGATAAACAATAAATGTGGTTCTCGCTGTTTTTACGTACCAAACACATCATGAAACTGGTCTGTTCCTCACAAACTTACTCTTTCGTGTTTAGCATCCTGTAGATTGTCCAAAAGGAGGAGCTGCATGGTAAACATGCTAAACTGCGCCACCTATAGCTGCAGTGATGACGTTTTTTTGTCGTGTTCGATGTGATGTCATTCTGTAGTCTCATTTAGCCACTTAATAGCAACAGTCTTTTTTTAAGGCAACCAAAATCTTCAAAATTCATGACTGGGTTTTTCACTGTATGACGTAGAAAACACGAAAGTCTCTTTAGCTTGTGCTAACCACTGACCTTATTTTAGGCACCTAACCAAAAACCCATTCAAAAAACCCACTGACTTCAAGACCAGGGAAGGGCAAGCACAAAAATGCTAACTCATTTCTGGGTTTTAGGACTCATTTCTGCACCACTCTGTGAGGAAGGAAAGTCATAGCAGCAGCTGTTAAGACCTGCAGATGTAGACATGTCAAGACTGACACTTACAGTGTGTCTCAAATTGCATACTTCTATTCTAAATACTTAATATTTTGAGTATGCAAATGCGCTAAGTGCGTTCACACTGCATAGTACAGGAAAATGCAATGTACTACTGGTGGGGGTCATCCCTATAGAGTGCCGAAGTCACGCCCCTTCCAGTAGAGCTCATGGGACCTTAGATCGGAAAAAATATGAATGGCAGTGGATGGGGAGAGCAATATCATCTTTTGTTCCCGTTTGAGTTGCAACATGAAATCCAAATATGTTGTTAATGAATGTAAAACATAAATTTTAAGGTCAAGAAAGTCATACTTTGTGGTAAAACTGTTGAGATATAAGCTTTTGAATTAGAAAGACTCGAGTACACAGGAGGAGGTCGCGTATGTGACGTCATAGCTTTCGCTCGCTTCCTGCAGCTTGGCCTCCCCGCTGAAATTCCACTGTTTTATGATTAATCGATTTATGATTGAAGATGTCTGTGTGTTTTGTGCCAGGCTGCAGTCACTCCAAGCTGCAGGAAGCGAGCCAAAGCTATGACGTCACATACGCGACTGCCTCCTGTGTAGTTTTTCTAATTACGTTTTTTTCAAAAGCTTATATCTCAACAGTCGCACGTCCTACCTCTCATAGAGTGTGTCAGGGCTGACGTCAAAACCCGGAAGTTTAGCATCACGCTGGTTCCCGGAAGAGAAAGTGAATGTGATTTTTGCATTGCGTTTTGGATTATGTCAGAAAATAAGCTCTGTGGCTAACACAAGTTTATGATACTTACAGGTTTTGTTCAGTGAGATAATCTTCACATATGAACACCTTTCATACCGCATTTGAAGCTTAAATGTGATCGCCAGAATTTAAAAGCTAACGTTAGGCTTTAACGGACTCCTGTTCGGGGGTGATGACGTTTAATGTCCCCGACAGGGTTTGTAGTCGTATTGAGCAACTTGTTAGCAACCGCCTTTTTTACGACACGTAAAAGCTTCAAAATTCACAAGTAGGGTATTTACTGACGTGTTTTATGTCATAGAACAAAACCTGAAACTCACTTAAGCTTTTGTTAACCACAGACCTTATTTGAGGCATTTTACCAAAATCCCATTCAAAAAACGTACTGACTTTTAGACGAGAGAACCGGAAGTGCTAAAAGCGCTAACGGAGATTACTGGCACACTCTATTGTATCGGCCACGTTTGCCCACTGACTCCAAAACTTTTGTCTTTCTCTGTTTTTCGCATCTGTCAGAAGAAAGTGTGACGGCAGGACACCTTTGTGACAAGACAGAGGAACTGGTCGCACAGTAATCCTTTCATGACTCAGATAGCTCACTTTTAACAGGTCAGATAGGTCAGTAATATACAGGTGGACGATGATGACGAGCAGGATGTGAAGAGGGAGATAGTGATGAGACAGATATGGCGGACAGCTCAGCCCATTCGTGTAGCTGCGTTGCTAAATGCCAGATAAGGGAAAAAAGAGTGATGACAGATAAATAACTCCAGTGGAGAGAAGCAAGGGAGGAAATGTCTTTTTGTCTCATGGGATGCGTCACCATGACAACGGGGGCACAGTGGTGCAGTGGTTTGCATTGTCGCCTCAAAGCAAGAGGCTTCCTGGTTTAAACCCAGGGTGGGGGAGTTCCTCTGTGTGGAGTCTGCATGTTCTCCCTGTGTCAGCGTGGGTTTCCTCCAGGTGCTCTGACATGTTCTCCCTGTGTCAGCGTGGGTTTCCTCCAGGTGCTCCAGCTTCCTCCCACAGTCCAAAGACATGCAGGTTAATTGGTGACTCTAAATTGTCCGTAGGTGTGAATGTGAGTGTGAATGGTTGTCTGTCTCTATGTGTCAGCCCTGTGATAGTCTGGTGACCTGTCCAGGGTGAACCCTGCCTCTCACCCAGTGTCAGCTGGGACAGGCTCCAGCCCCCCACGACCCCTAACAGGATAAGCGGTTACGGAAAAATGAATAGAACAAAGAAACGTATCGGACTAAGTGTGCAAGGATTATGTGCGTAGCGCTATTTATCGGTTGACAGATTAAAAATACGCATCCAAAAAAGAGAAACATTTTATTCAGCAACATATGGACACCACTTTTATGATTTTTGAAGCGTAAATGCAGTCATCAGAGGTAAAAAGCTCACATTATATGATGAACGAACAGCACCACGCTGCATGACTTTGACGTTGGAGTCTCATTTAGCCGGTTGTTAGCAACCACCTTTTTAAGACATGTAAAGGCTTCAAAATTCACATGTGAGTAACAAAACATAAAAGTCTCATATACTTGTGTTAACCCCAGACCTTATTTCAGGCATCTAACCAAAAACCCATTAAAAAAACAATGACTTCAAGACGAGGGAACCAGGAGTGCAAACACACTAACTCATATCCGGGTTTAAGGACTCATTCCTGCACCACCCTGTTTCCCTCAGTGCATGCAGGTGGCAGTTATTAATGTTGTAGAAGTTATTATTACCCATAGATGATGCACATCAACACTGCTGATAGGAGCGTGTGCTCATAAATTACAAGCCCTCCTACTTCCACATGATGAAACACTGGTGAATATGGAGTAAATATAGTGCACTGAGTCAAAACACGGCAGAAGCTGGGGGAGAGATAATGAGATAATAAGCTGTGGGGAGGAGGCACCAGCTGAGCTCAGAGATGCTAACATTGGAGATAGTATAAATAGCTGATGGTCGACACCAGGAAGCCCTCATTAACCACCATGTCTGGAGGAGCAGTCAGACATTCCTTGCGATGGTGGAATGCACCTAAAAATGCTCAGGATGATTTTTGAGGTGGTCAATGCAGCTTGCAGCTCAGAGGACACTTATCTAATGTTTACTACTACCGCAGTATTTTGTCTTTTGATTAGTGATCTAAGTAGAGCTTAAGTCCTTTAATAGAGAATGTTTAAAGCAAAAATACAAAACATTTTCTAGTTCCAGCTTCTGTAATGCAAAGGTTTGCAGCTTTTCTGTGTGTCATACCCCTGTAAACTGAATATCTTTGAGTTTTGGAGTGTTGGTCGGACAAAGAAAACTAAAAAACAAAATCAAAACTCATTTAAAGATGACACTTTTCTCACAACTTTTCTGACATTTTATGGATCTTACAATTAAAAGTATACTCTGCAGGCTTGTCAGTTACTGTTTATAAAGTGAAAAGTGAAAGTAAAAGTCAACCCCAGATTCACCTTTCTACTTTTGACTTGCTATGTTTGAATTTTTTTGGCACTGTGTCTCTTGGATGCTTTCTGCTTACAGTCTGGCACCTGGTCGCTACCATTTTTATAAAGCCCCGACCTCACCTGAGCGATCTGGGGGTGCACGCCCAAAAACGACCTCAACACACACACACGCAAAAAATACAAAGCCACACTTCTAGTGGATTGTAAGGGATGATTGAGAGGGAGTCTACACATTGTTTTTTAGGATGCCTGGTTTATCTTCTAAAGGAAATAAATGTCTGATTTATCGATAATAAGAATACTCCTTAGCTGCAGCCCTAGATCCAAGGCATTAAAATATAATGTTATGATTATTTTATTTGCTTTATAGTTGTTTATACTGTCTATCAATACTGGCAACTACTTTTTTTTTCCTTTAACAGAGACAGTGCACGGCTACTTAGCTGCACCAGAGTTAGCCATAAGCTACTTTTCATCTGCAGTCCCTTCTCTGCGAAAAGACACTATGAAATAAAACAAAACACAAAGTAGAACATATTCATGACACAATAACATCAGCAAAAACAATAAAACTACAAGATTTCATAATGTTATCAATCAAGTTTTTGAGTAAATGTGTGATAGGTACATGATTGGGTTCATATTTCATCTTACATTTAAAACCAACAAAGTTGTTGCTCTGTCTTATCACTAGAGTTGTACTGATACCAATACCAGTATCGGAAATGCCTCCGATACTGCCTAAAATGTAGTATCGGGTATCGGCGAGTACAGCCTATGACCAATCCGATACCACATAATGCCTCATGTCATTACGCATACGCACGCTGCAGGCAAACGAAACGGAAACGGAGCGGAGTTTAAAAAGCATTCTACTGTAGCCTTTAAAATGTCTTTTTTACCAAATTGTGTGGCTGCACTTTAACCTGTGTCTTGATCTGTGTCAACACTGGATAATAATAATAAAAAAAGTTTTATGGCATTCATTCTACTGTTATGTATTTAGTTCTTAATATTCTACATAGAGTTTTAGGAGTTGAGACATACAACAATTCATATCCCATCCATTTTTATTTAAACGCTGGTATCGGATCGGTACTCGGTATCGGCAGATACCTAAGGTTCAGGGATAGGAATCGGTATCGGGAAGGAAAAAGTGGTATCGGTACATCTCTACTTATCTCATTTGGTAGTTAGTTCCAATAGTTTGCAGCTCTAACAGAGAGTGATCTCCCAGTAGATCTGTGCTGTACTGCGCAGTCACCTCCGTCGGTCGTCCTAGACGTCCTCCCATCGTCTGAGCGCAGTTGTATGACCTCTTTTAATTGAGGAGCAGCCAGATTTGTTCACTAAAGCGAGACTGTTTAGTGTATTGAAATGTTACATCTGTGAAATCTGCCCACTATTATGTGTTCTTATTATGTGTCCAAGGTCCGAACTCATTTCAACACTCAAGTGAATACTACGACTATTTGACACGTTTAATTATATTATCACAGAGACTTCAGCCTTCACGGTCTGTTGTTATAAACAGGCTCACAGGCAGCACACATCGTCCCCACATACTCTCCGTCATCATTGATCAGTGTAGCTCTCCTGCAGAGGTGCACCATCAGGACCCTCCAAACCTTTTCATTAAAATGATTAATCATTAAGTGACCTCCGCAGAACTGTCGTGTCTTTGTCAGTCTCTGCGTCGGAAAGCGATTCGAGGCCGCCGTGTTTGGAATGTGGCCTGTCACGTTCAAAAAAAGACACTGAGGGAAGTTAGGGAAATATATCAAAACAAATAGACGTCCTGAAACGAGGTCAGGATTGTACCTCATTGGTTTGGAGCTGCTCCTCTGGGAGGCAGGAAGAGAGAGCGAGAGGGAGAACGGGGGGAGAAGGAGTTTATGGGGAGGGCGAGGGAGGCGATGGGGGGGAGGAGGGGAATGAAATTAAATTTGCTGTGCCCTTGGTTTTAATAGATTAAAAGCTTTAGGAATGATTGGATCATTCATTTGAAATGTATGATGTGGCTCAGAGTGTTGGCCTCCGCTCTATTGGATTACCTGTGTGTGAGTTACGGGGGTTAACAGTAGGGACACAGCGTGAGCCTTTCGCTTTATTCTCGTGCACGTCTGCGTGTTGGCTAAGTGACATTTTCCTGGAGGCTCGTGCTATAGATGGAGGAGCGAACCAGGTGTTTTCTAGAACCGAACCTGTCACGGCTTCATTATATGCTATTGTTATGCTAAAGGTTGAGATTATATCTGGCCAGACTGTGATTAAACACGGAAAGAATGGGATGGCAAAGAGCCAGTGGAAGAAAATACAGTACATGTACCAAAAAAGTTAATTTAATTGTTTGTGTTCTTTCTGTTTTTTTCTGCCCCGTCTTTAGGTATGACATCTGCACCTACAAGAACAAACCCTGCGGTACCTTAGGTGAGTGGACTAAAGCAGATTTATGTATGTTAACATGTGTTTTCCTGCCAAATTGCTGATGTTGACTATGAGACGCTCTGGTTTCGGAGTTCATTCTTCTCTTTGTCCCTCTGGAGAGGTTTTCATTTTCGCGTCGGGCCTTCAACGTGTCCTCAGACAAACCTTATTTAGCAGTCTCTCTCAGAAGAACACCAGACGGCTCCTGTGAGACATAATGAGAAGGATGTTTTCACTTGCGTTATTATAGCTCCTCAGCGACTCCCCCTCTGTCGATATAGGCCACGAGCCCTGAACCTGGACAGCCGTGGTCACCTCCTAGCACGGCCTCCGGTTTATAAAGCCGCTCTGTCCCTCTAGACTCAGTTTGTCCAAGGTGTTTACACTTCCACTGGGGGTTGAGAGAGAAAGGAAAAGGTATGTGTTTTGGGAAGCCGAGGACGCAGACTGGAGTTGGGGGGAGGAGGGATAAAGAGGAGAGTAGTGACAGAAGGAGGAGATGGAGAAGAAGAGGAGGAGTTGAAAGGAAAATGGAAGGGGAAAAGGACAATTATAGGGAGTGTTAGTATGCAGGAGGGGGATAGAGTGGGTGATATGCTGGTTGTGATGGTATTGGGGGTGGAGAAAGGACAGCAAGCAGCTCCTCCACCTCTCTCTGTCTCTCCTCTTCAACCCCTCGTCCCACCTCGAGCCTCCTTCCCACCCAGCCCCTCTCTCTCTCCATCTTATCTTTGTAAAGGCCCCGCAGGCACCACAGTATATCTTGGAGGTAATATTGTGACTTCAGGGGTGGTTTGACAGATTGACCGCATTCGTCACATTCCCCGGTTGCTTTAATTGCCCTGGCATCTGCTTGGCTTCCTCGTTGTCTCAACCCCCAGCCCCCCCTCCTCCTCTTCTCCTCTCCACCTCCCCTCCTCTCCTCCTTCTCCTCCTGGGGATCATGCTCCCAGGTCAGATCGCTGGCCTTTAGGGTCGCCGTGTAATCACGGGGCTGGAGATAATACACAGTCCACCCCAGTGTTAAGAAAACAACTTGCAGTGTGTGTGTGTGTGTGTGTGTGTGTGTGTGTGTGTGTTTGAGCTGACCCACACACACACTCACTTTACTCTCTCTCACACACACATTCTTAAACTAATCGTAGAGTAGCCTTCCTTTCCCTCCCTCTCCTCCTTCTTTCTTCACCTTCAGGCTCCCTCTTTCCCTGCAGTAATGGTTTCAGTGGCCTCCTGATTTGCGAGTCTATTCTTGTTTAGCCTCTTAGTAAAGAGGATACAAAAGCCACGCCACTTTTAGCAGGGAGGCCGAGAGTTCGTGCAAACTATGCAGGAAAATCTGAAGCAGCGCTGACCATCAAAACACGAGCTACGCCGGTTACTCGCGAGTGCAAATGCAGATGTGTCTGTCGTTATCACTCTGCAAAACAAAATTGAGAGACTGAATTTTTTTACATCAATTTAATGGGTCAGTCCACCCAAATTACACATTTTCTCACTTACACCTTGTTGTATCGAGCAATTCAGACAGTTTTGATTTTAGAGGTAAAGAGATATCTGCTCCATCCACCTGTTTATAAAACATCAGCCCAGGCACCACAAGAAAGTGTTGGCATCGTACGTTTCTGCAAACCATGGATCAACACATTTGTACATTTCATTTGTACCATATCAACATTTCTAAAATGACCTAGTTCCGATTACATGTACACGAGCTGACGAGACCCTTGCAGAGCACTGTACGACACCAACAAACAAAACAGCATACGTGACATTTCAGCCGTGAGTGTGTCACCAAAACCAGTTGTTTATAGTGAGATGTTTGTGGCATTTCCAGCCCCGACTGTGGCCCCAAAACTGGTTGTTTTTTAGCAAGGCAGAGGTGGTATTTCCGGTGGCAATTGCGCCATCAAGACCATCTGTTCTTTGGTGAGACGTTGGCGAAATTTCCAGTCCCAGATGTTCCACCAAAACCAGTTGGTGTTTTTTGTGAGACACTGGTGACATTTACAGCCCAGATTGTGTCACCAAAACCAGTTGTTTTTTTAGTGAGACATTGCTGATATTTCCAGAACCTGACTGTGCCACCAAGACAGTTTTTATTAGTGAGACATTGGTGACATTTCCAGTCGTGATTGTGCCAACAAAAACAGGCATTTTAAGCCAAAACACAATCTTTTTCTTAACCATAACCAAGTGGTTTTTGTGCCTCAACAAATGTTTCATATCTGTGGTCTGCAAGCCTACAATGCCAACATTTATTCTGGAGATTGGGTAAAATATACCTGAGTGGAGATGCTAGAAATTTGGAAAAAAATGTTGGTGTATCGATAAAAGAAGAAGAAGAAACATCAGATCTGTGCAGAGCGATGAGGAGACCGTAACCTTCCTCAAAATGCCACATTCAGTCTTGTTTTCTGCATCATCTTTGTTGTTGAAAGTCTGACTGGAGCTCTCTTGATGTCATCTCCTGTCCTCTTCTTCTGCACAGATCGGGAAGATTAGCACCAAAGCGTCCACCCCTAATACTCACCTAACAGTAGTGGATGAAAACACGCAATCATTTGTATTTTATTGTGCAGATTTTCCATAGATTCTGTTAAAATTTGGATGTAAACTTGACCAGTAAAGTCTGGAGATTATTCAGAATATGAGGGAGACTGTTCGGGAAGAAGTGTTGCTGTTGAACATCTCAAAACCTGATCATATGAAATCAAAACTGCCTGCATGGTTATATACATAAGTTCTTTGAAGATTTTTATAGTGTGTCCTTTTACCTCAACCTGAAAACATTTTAAACAACACAAATAAAATCGTCATTCCTTCACGCACAGTAATGCACATCCCCCAACAGACGCACACACACCTGCTTTGCGCTGTCATATGATCCACTCTCCAGTCACCTGTAGATGTAATCTGTGAAGAATTGCCTCCTGTCTCCCTATCTGACCTGTCAGGCTTTAGGAAAAAAGGACTGGTGACAACTGGATTGTGGAGCGGTTTCAACTTTTAACACCCTCTCCTCCTCTCCCTTTCTCTCTCCCTCGTTCTCCTACCTTTAAAATGAGGAAAACATCTATATTCTCTGACAGGTTTCTGTTGGGGTACGTTGATAGTGAAGGGGATCTCATATTCCCCTCCTTGGCTCGTGTTGTAGGCGATCCCTTGTTACATGAATTGAAACGTATAAATCTAACCATTGTCTAGACATTTTCCAGCAGTCGCTGTAGTTTGCAAGATATTAAAAAAGGACGTCTAGCCGGTGATGCTAAACCCAACTCCCCCTGGTGAACAGGAGATCACATGTGTGGAATCCCAATTTTATGACCATGACTCCTAAGAATGCTTCGTCTTGACCCTGTGTTTGTGTGTTTGTCTCGTGTGTGTGTGTCTAGGCTTGGCCTCAGTGGCTGGAATGTGCGAGCCGGAGAGGAGCTGCAGCATCAATGAAGACATCGGCCTCGGGTCTGCTTTCACCATTGCGCACGAGATCGGCCACAAGTGAGTTTAAAGACTTATAAAGGAATACCTCACCCCACAAGAGACCATTTGTATATCAGTTACTCCCCCTGTGTAAAGTTTACTTACGTAATAAATAAACTTTGGATTTCTCGCACCACTCCATGGTGAACGAAGAATCCAAAAAAGGAGAAAACTTTCAGTAAACTCAGTAAACAACAGTAAAACTATACCAAAACATCCGTTAACAAACTCTCACACAACTCATGCAGTATAATCCAGTCGTGTGCTCAGTACTTCCCAAACAGACAGCTCTTTCCAATGCAGAACTAAACTAAAAGTGAAATGTGTCTATGCTCTCTTCAAAGCCAGACTCAATTGACAAAAACAGTAATTTTACCTCACTAAAAAAAGAAGCTGCTGGTTTATCACCGCCTCAATCAGTTACTGTGTTTGTCTTATTGTGTGACTTTGGTCTTTTAAAAGGTTAGTTCAGTTTCAGCAAAGTCAAACAATAACACAAACAAACTAACTGATCAAGGCAGCAGTAGACCAGCAGCTCACGTATTCAACGATCTAAAATTACTGTTTTTGTCAATGGAGTCTGGCTTTAAAGAGAGCGTGATTAAGTTCCACTTCCTGTTCAGCTCCTTGTCAGAAATGGCTGTCTGTTTGGGAAGTACTGAGCATACGACTGGATAAATGAGACATGATTATACTGCATGAGTTGTGGAAGAGTTAGTAAATGGATATTTTGATATAGTTTTGCTGATGACTTCAATACATGAAGAATTCTTTTCTGTATTTGGTTTATTCATTCACCACGGAGGCATGCAAGAAAAGCGTTTTCTTTATAAATTCAACATAACACAGGGTGAGCAAGTGAAGTATTCCTTCAAGATCCTACTGTAAATTCTAAAATTTGACATTACACTCTGATGCAAGTGGCAGCAGTGGGGCAAAGTTAGTGAAGGACCCCCACAGACATGTTTTAAGACTTGTAAAAAGACTCTGATTTGAACAATAAGCTGTGTCCCGTGTGTTTCTTCCATAAAAAATTCCATTTGCACCGACACTGACATCCCAACTCGTTGCGATGTCATAAATCATGCTCATATGTACACGTGTTAAACTCAGATTTAAGGTGAGCGCAGAGAAACTTTCCTCCGTCAGCAGATAAATTCTTCTTCCCAGTGTCAAACTCTGCACATACATCACTCCGCACGGTGAAGTTCAAACATTCAGGTGAAGTAACAGCAAGCAAAACACATTTCTGAACGCAGGGCGACTTAAAGTTGCACGTGTGTTGGTCACATTCAGCTATTTTCTTGTTTTTGTGCAACTGAAATTTACGAGGGTTCAGAGCTGTCAAACAAGTCATCTGCAGACAACCTGCCTTCCCGCACACAGGAAAAACACCTCTTAGACTTGAGAATTATAATGCCCTAATCAGTCAGTTTGGATATCATTTTTACACTCGCAAATAAGATTCCTTCGTTTGCTTCAGATCATTTTAAAACCTTTTATCACGCTCACAACTCTGTGCTCTAATAACTGCTCTTAAACAAACGTCACTTACTACTTGAATTTGCCAGACCTGCATGTAGCCTCTTTTTTTTACCCCTGCAGACGTCTTGAACTGTATCTCCACATATTTCCTCATGCAAATGTCAGTGTCCACATACCTCTGGCTCTTTCTTCCTGAATATAAAGCAAAATAATGATGATGTATTAGTCTACGTATCCCTCTCCAGAGAGTTCAGCAAGATGGCGATTTCCTTTATTATGTCTCGTGTCTGCTTCTGTTGTGGGGCAGTTGTAAAAATAGTCTCTGCTTCTAGAGGATGTATAAAAAAAACACACTGCAGCGGGGTTTCAAGCAGGCTGATTTATTTCCAGAGTAGGGTAAAATGTCATAAACGCCAGCCTTAGAAAAACAGGTTCAGGCTGTGCGATGTGGTCGGGGTTGTTATATACATTAGACCTGATTTGTGCTCCCGGACTGTAAGGAAAAGTAAGCTTTGACATCCTGCTGTAACGTGAGATTTTCCCCTCAAATGATATCCAGACAGATAAGGTTTTTTTTTTTAATGAATTGTTAAAATGATTTATTTTCAGCCCTCAGTGCAAAATAAATTCTTGAGCAGCTTTCCTAACAGACCACAAGGTCGGGAGCTGTTTGGGTTTTGGGTCTCTCTGTGTTCTCCGCTGCAGCGATTGATCTAAAGCTGCAGTCGGTGGTGACTCTCCCTCCCGGCCTGCTCAGACCTGCAGCCGGTGATTGACAGCCAAGCATCAGAGTGGTGATTAGAACTTTTTTTCGTTCCTGTCGAGCTCCAGACAGGGTTTGACCCTTGACTTCTGGCTCCCCTCCTCACAGCTGTTTCAGACCCGCGGAGCTGGATCTTTACAGCCAGGGCCGCTGAGGGAGACATCCTCCAGCCAGAAACCTGGACCGTCCACTCTCATCCCATCTGGACTGAGAGGGGTCACTTTTAGAGCAGTGGTTACTGATGATCATCGTACCCAGCTGAACTTAATTCCAGTTTTATTTTGTGTGTTTCAGTTTTGGGATGAACCACGATGGGATCGGGAATTCCTGCGGCACCAAAGGCCACGAGACAGCCAAGCTGATGGCTGCTCATATAACAGCCAACACCAACCCTTTCTCCTGGTCCGCCTGCAGCAAAGACTACATCACCAGCTTTCTCGAGTAAGTGGATGATGGTTGCTCCCTGTGGCAGAGTGTGTGTATGTGTGTGTGTGCAGTAGAAAAAAAGGTGCGTGCCTGTTTTCCAGCTCGCTTGCAGCCGCCTCTCTTTACAACCCGCTGGCCCTTGTGGTGACCCGCTAGGCTGACTTGTATACAAGTCCTTCCCCACTTATTCACATCCATTTCATCACCACGACTCCTGCCAGACCTCCTTGTGGCTGTGTATGATAACCGGGTGCCTTCCACCCTTGCATCCTCGCACCACAAGGCAGGCGATGTTAGAGCTCCTGTGGTCCTCGGTGGTGATGTGTAGGCCAGCTGCCTCCAACCGCTGCTCTACTGCTTTGTGGATAGGTCAAAGAAGAGAAAGTGCACAAATAAACTGAGGAGTAAAGCAGTGACATTTGGCAGAGTTGAGGCAATGCTGGCTGAGTAATGCCAGCCTGGCATGGTAAAAAACATTACACGGGGTCATTGAGCCGACTCAGGCCACATCTACACTAATACGTGTAAGACAGAGTTTTAAAAGGAAAACAAGCTCCATACACACACACACACGTTTCAGCACCATTTCAGAGACAATCTTGTACTAAGAGCCTGTTAGTAGCTGGTATTAACATGTGTCCTAGGTGATCTGATCACAAGTGGACAGCGCATAATATAAGTGTAAAATGAACACCGAGACACACTGTGATCCAATCATTCAAACCACTTGCTGAGCTGATCGGGGACACATTTGACCACGTTTCTTTTGTGTTGCAAAGGCTTATGCGTCCTGACACGTCCCCGACAATGACTGTGTTATCAGTACAGGACGTGGTGGTTGTTTTGGTGAAATGCTCTATAACTTGCCCATTTTACCACGAGTTGAACAAAGTGTTGCCTGATCATCCATCTTTTGCCCTGAGGAAGGAGACATGTTTGATTCTGCTGTACCGACACAACCGCTAACGTGACTAGTGAGCATGCTAGGGTGTGCATGGGGTCCGTAGAGCTTCTAGCGTAAGTGGCATAGGCAGTAACAAAATCCAAACACCCATGGTCAGGTGGAGACGCATGATAGACACAGGCTGCTCAGCCTTGCAGCCAGTTTATCCCAGTGTCCACTTGTGGTATTGCAGAGAAGAAATTCCCTGCGGCCAACGATAGGCCACCATTTTTAGAAGAGACGTCTGTAAACCTGTTGATAGGACACCAATACCTGCAAACAAGGTCATTTATGACTCTTTCTGTCATGAATTTTGATCCATTGTGGTTTTATATTTGTAAAACTTTACTCAAGCTGAGATAAGGGTTTAAAATCTGTGACGTCATCACAACGTGAAGTCTACAAGACGAGCAGGAACTTGTGGATGGAGCCAGCAGGAGAATCCCTACTGTACATATTCAGTGGGCCGCATATCATGAAGGGAAACCTGGAAGCTATACCTTTTTTTTAGCGCATGTGTCAGGCGAGCACTTTCATGGGAATGAATAGGCGCCATCTTGGCATCCGGTATCTTGGTATTATTATAAATCTATGGGATCACCAAAGCGCACATTAATACCAGATGTGAACAGGCTCTAACATGGCAGAAAATGCATATTGCATAATCATTCAGAGAGATGAAGACAGAGCTACATGGCTGCAGTCCATTTAAAAAAAAAAAAAGGGTCAAAATAAACACAGTAGTACCCAAAATATTGTCTTTTCATTCCATGTCTTCCTCGACAAAACCTGGCGCCTACATTATCCACAATGCAACTCAGCTGCAGATGATTTGCTCACAGATTTGGGTGTGTTATGCTAGTAGCGGCTAATGTAGCCTCAAGCAGAGATGAGGTTTTGTTAGCTTACTTCCTTCTAACGCCACACCTCCAGTTTTTTTTTTTTAATTTTTAAACTTGTAGTCTTTAACCGACTCGAGTGACATCACTTGAGGCGGTTTATCAGACTTTGTGCAGCTCCATCTGGAGACACACAAGGTTTTATACAACTTTTCAGATATGCAGTGATACTTCCAAAGACCTATAAACAGACTTTGATGTGTAAAACTGGTGGAGTTCCCCTTTAAACAGAGTGTGTGTTGTCTCAAACTGAATATCTGATAGGTTACACTCTGGGACTGTTTGGTAGCTGTGGATTGAGGCCTGACATTTCTCCACAGACAGACAGACAGACAGACTAAGCTCTGGGTGGGCTGTGCCACTGTTGGGAAACTGCCTCATTGTGTAGGAATAACAATCAGAAAGTGGTCAGGATTGTTCTCGCAGACGAGAAACATGCTGCCATTCTTCTTAGACCATCACAGAATGAGGTCAAGGATTCCTCGTCTTTGCAACATTTGCAGGAACATCAAGGTCCTCTCATTGTTTATATTTGATGTTACAAACAGGCAGAAACTTGCAAGATAGGATGACTGTTAATCCTGCAAAGATGAGTCTGCAGAGCATGCCGATAAATAGTGCAATTGAAACAGAAATGCCAGATACAGCTCCGAGTGAGTCATGGTGCTGTGAGGCTGCTCTAATCAATAATTTCATATTAACAATGGATGAAATGACTGTATAATGTGAAAGAGGTCGCTGCTAGTGACAACCCCACAGAGAATCATCCCCTGACTCTTTTTCTGTTCTGGTCACATCTGCAGACGTTTTCGTTTTTAGCTCATTCTTTTTGGTTTTTCAACTTTACTGTTGTGTTTGACTCTCAATGCACACAGCAACCTTAATTCCAGCGGCAGCAGTCAGCGGTTTAATGTGACAACACTGATAAATCGGCCTCCTGCCCAGCACCAAACAACAGACGCAGTTATAGACCACCTGGTAACCACAGCGGAGCATTAAGCAGCTAACGAAACAGATACTTCCCTCAGGAGGTGGTTGAGACCAAAAACAGAGCAAAAAGACAGAACATTAAACTTTCATCAGCAAGTTTTTCATATCAATTTTTAAGATGATAGAATGTCAGTGTTGTGTTTGTATTGTTGCGTGTTGCTCTGCCTCCAAATGGCAAAAAAAAAAGAAAAGTTAATGCAGGTTTAACTGCTCCTAAAATAGCAGACCATTTTAAACAAAAGAAGAAGAGGATCTTGTTTGAGTTAGTTCTGCTTGAACAGGCTTTATCTACTGCAACAGCCTTGGTTTCCCGTAGAGCTGTATGTGACTTAGAATTATGTTAGTCGCATCAGATTCGGCTGTTCACTGTGAATATTTGATTATTATTAGTTTTTTGAGGTATATAGTAAACAAGCCAAGTTAGCCCTTTGAGCTAATGCATGCTAACTACGCTAACAACAGAATCAGAAATGTGCAACAACAGTTTTTGCTGACACTAGATATCAAACAAAACCCACAGTCTGTATCACATTAAGTTGCTGTGACCTGTAAATTCACCACTTCTAAGCAGATGGCAGAAGATAATGTTGTCTCCAAGCCTAAATGGACGAAGACTCTTCCTCCAGACTGCTGTCTCCATCTCACTCAAGCCTTTTTGCCATTGCACAAAAACACGCTAACGCCGGCTAACATTTGGCTTTTTAATGTAATGGGAAAGCTTGCATTTGGCATTCACAAGCAGGTCACATAACTCTGCAGTAGTCACAGGTATTTATCAGCTCCTGCTCCGATTTGCTTTGATGGAAACAACATCTGGGTTGACGTGCTAATTTCAGCCCTTTAACCTGCGAAATGCACGACCACAAAATACCGTCCATCTCCGTGCAACCAGCGCTCAGATATTGATCCAAATTAGTCTGCACTGAATTAAAGAGACCTACCATAACACTTTCACAGGCCTCCATGCAGCTTTCAGCTGTTTACTAACCTGCTTTCCGGCCGCCTGTGACATCCAATGTGACACACCTGACATATTTGTTTGCTGCAGAGTTGTGTACAGAGCTCTGGTCTGCTGGCAACGGAAAAGGAGTTCATTACCTATTTTAAGTGGGATTTCCTACGTTTAAATGACCCGCATACAAACGCAAATGTGGGTGGAAAAGGGGTATCAGACTCATCCTGGGTCTGAGTTTGCAGCTGCCTGTACCGGGGAAAGTGAGGAGTGCTCACTCTGCAGCTAAATCCTGGGACAAAAACGCCCCCAGAAGTACATTGCACACTGACAAAAAGAATCTCAGACGACTTAGGGGTCTCTGACTGATGATTCAAATCTTCAGGGGGCAGCCCAAGTTCCCTGATTGCAGTGGAGAAGTGGAAACAGATTCAGACAGGGACTGTTATCTGCCTCACACAGGAGGTGAGAGGTCAGCTTCACCTTTTAGCTGATTCCTATCTGAGTCTTTCTGAGGGACACTTCAGTTTAACAGGCTAATTAAGGGAGTTTGAGTCAGGGTCTTTCAGTGTAGACCTCTATGCTCATTGCCCCTGCTGTCCTTAATAATTTGCACGTTAGGACTGATCTGGTTTGAGTTTTTAGGAAAATGTCAGGTTTGTGCAACAGAAACATAAAGAACACATTCAAAGTGTTATATTTTATTGCACTCTGGATAATAGAGCCAATTTATTTAAGCTTACCGGAGAGGATTGCAAATATCTTAATTTTTAAGTGCTTCTCACAATGATTTTCTCCGAACAGTTCAGCTTTAATTGCTCATCACTGAGACCTGAGCACTGCAAATCCTAATATACAACCTTGTGGTTGTATCGGTTGGATGCACTGCAAGTCTGCGGTGTGCCTGTGTGTGTGTGTCTGTTTGTGTATTCATGTTTAGCTAGCGAGGCCCTCCAAGAAAGCCGATAATAGCCGCCGTGGTTGTCAGATGATGTTTCCGGCTGAAAGCTGTTAGAGGAGGGTTAGTGAACAGCACTTGTGACAGAGATGACAGTATTATGTGCCAGCTTCCAACTAGGACACAAAGAGCCGCTTCTGTGCTGCTCCGTCGGGTTCCTGTCCGGCTCTGGCTCGAGTCTCTGAGGATGACCAAAACTGTGCTCCGACAAAAAAAGAGACAAAGTTGTTTTGCTTCTTTTCCAAGCAGAATCAACTTCAGCTCAGCCTATAT